AAAAATTCGTTGATAAAGTTAAATGCGTGCAGCTGCGTGATGCCTACATTTCCTTAAACCGATCGGAATCTACTAAACGGCGTTCAAAATATTTCCCTCAAAATTACATTTCCTGTGAATTTGAACCGATTCGGACCGATAGATTTTGAGAAATTTTGAAAAATCTTAAAAAAATAAGAAATATTTTTTTTTAAGTGGTTTCTTTATCGATCAACTTCAAAAACTAATCCGCCTTTGAGCTTGAAAAACCACGTCGATCGCCACCAAGCTGGTCAAAAGCGGTTGATTCGTTCGAGAGATATCGTACATGAAAGAAACCCGAAAAAGTGTTTTTCGGGATTACTCCGAAATTTGTGGTTCGATCAATTAAAATTGCAAAATTACTTATGAGAATGATAAAACTGCGTCGAATGCCGCCAACCGCGTGAAAATTGCTTGATCCATTCAAAAGTTATTGCGGTTTGAAAATTCCAAAAATAGTGTTCTATGAAACTTCTATCAGACTTTCGAGCTGGGAGAGCTCAAATGCATAGAAATGTTATTTCTTTGAACTCAGCGAGCTCAAAATATCAATTTTAAGCGCCCAGGAATGGAATTAGCGGGAAGTTGCAGGGATGGCCCTTTAGGTGAACCGTTTTTCTATTTTTTTTTGTCAGATCAGGCGAATCCCTCTAGATAATCGTCAGATTATGAGACAGTACGTTTAGAACATAAAGATGAACCACATATATCTTAATCTGACGCGCTTGAGTATTTCAAAATTGCGATTTTTTTTTGCAAATTAAGAAAATGGCTGTGGGTTTGCGTCCCATCGAAATCGTCAGATTAGTGAATGAGAGATTTTTTTTGGTGCACTTAACACTCCCTTAGAAAATCTGACGCGCTCGATAAATTTTTTTTTTTTAAATTTTCAACCCTTAAATACAACCACCCGCATCATGCAAACGATCAGATTAACATACGTACATTATTAAAAATACGTAGGGCATAGATGCTATCAATATCTGACGCGCTCGAGGATGTCCATGCAACAGTTTTTTTTACATATTTAACTATCTATAGCCGCTTCCCCCACCGATGAAAAGGAATTTATCATATAACATTTTTTTCTTCTTTTTATCTAAGCTTTGTATCCCAATAGGTCTCTACGACGCTCGAGTAAATCCCCATTTAGCATCGTGGGCTCCCCTACCACTATAGGTGACAGCGTCTTGTTCCTTCCAAACTATTATTATCTTTGATTCAAACACTATAATAAATATTTTGAAATAGCACACATTAATAATCGTCTGGAGACATACTGACAAGAAAGAATAATTAAAACTACGGTTTGTACGACAAAATCTTTATTTATAAAGTTTTATGAGATAAATTCATGACCACTTTGCCTTTATTATTCTTCTACTATCGTTATAAACACAAAAGGCGTTTACCGTTTCCTTAACTAACATTTTAAGTACCGAAGATCTTTCCAAATATTTTAGAATTTAAAAGGACATTTCACATCTAAATTAACATAGTGCACAGAAGTAAGTTCAATATTCTAAATTATTATTACATAATAATAAAGAAATACGAAATTGGCACTTTGTAAAGAGAATAGACAAAAAGTGTTAAATAAAAATATAAATATTCCGGTTGACCTTAGATTGCATTAAGAATTCTCAATTATAATTGTACCAAGCCGAACATTATGCTTAATACAAAAATTATACATATCCATTATTTAAATGTATCTAGTGCCAACGAAATGTCACCTGTCAACGAACAATAATTATAAACTATTAAAATATTGTCTAAGAGTGTTTGTTACTGTTTTGACAACTAGCCAAATATCATCTGTCCTACGAGATGGTGTAGCAATGAGACCTTACGAAAGATTAATTTTAAAGAATCACAAAACAGTCACTAAAACTTTCAAAGCAGGAGTGATTATTAAAAATCGTCATTTGCAAAACCCAAGACCATAATTAAAAAGTAATACTCGGCGCTTCAATAAAAACCTAATATAAATACTTGCTCCGCGTGTTTATGAATTAAACTTTTTTAGTATCTGTGTGAGATAAAATTTATTGCACTATATCTTAAAGTGAAATATCATAATATCAAAAATGTTTAATTCGAATTACCTGCACCTAATCAAGTAATTTTAAGTTCTTAACCGCAACATTTTATCAATAGTTTAATTTAAAACTAATTATTAATATAAAAAAAAAAATTTATCGTTACAACTTACAATATAAGTGCCGCCGTAGTCTCTTACAAATAGCTTTATCTAAAAATAGCCATTATCTACGTTTTCTATCTAAAATCTACAATTTGACTCTTTGAGAGTATTTCCTTAGTACCGATTACAAATATGTACATTTTGTCCCTTCAGATCGATTGGTGCTAATTTTGATCGTGAACATTATCATAAGAGCGGGCGTTAACCAAAATACATGTAATGTTGGAATTAAGACAATAAATATGGATTGATTCTTCACTATAATTTCAATGGTTGACTCTAATTCAAAACACAATGCAATATAAATTTTCTAACTTTTATCTAATTACATTTAAAAACATTTTTCTAATTATTCAATCAAGGCGAGTATTAAAAAAACAAAAATTGTTATTTGAATTACATCACATTAGTTTGGCCGAGACCTGTTACTAGCCATTTTATTAAACATTGTATATTTTACGAGTTATTTAAATAAAAAGCATTAGGCGCTTACGTCTTTTATGTTTCCGCGAACACTATATCTTCTCCGTATCAGCTTACGCAAACTTAGGACATGCGTTTCTTACACCAGTCAGTCGCTCTCGCTCCATTGAGACGAGAACACAATGTTTCTTTGCGCCAGCGTTCGACATATTATAATTATGGCGAGAAAAATAAATACTATTACCAAAAACTAAGTAACACCCCTTAAAATTATGATTATGATAGATGACCCCAAATTTCTACTACTGTCTAGACGTATTTTTCTAATACACACAAGTGAATTGACACCAATCATAAAATAATATACATCAACAGCTTAGAATTTTGTTGGTTTTACTAGAGCAGTACATGAGTAAAGGCCCTGTTCACAAAAATACACTTAGGCGCAAGTAGCAGGTTTAGACGTTAATACAACCGCATATTGATATTTTATATAATTGTTTTGCATATTATACTAAATGCTCGTTGCATTTATCGCTAAAGCGGGCCGAGGGAGACAAGCCGATGAAATCATAAATTTCGCTAGCTTTACGCGCGCTCTTAATGATGGAAATAATTACTTATTTAAGTTTTCTGAACCTTTTATCTTCATTTGCAACAGAACTTAGTAGTTAGAATATGTTTTTATCAAAATTTGCACCATTCGTCGAATCCCAAACTAACACTACAAGGCCGCATTATATTTCATAAGTGCTACATTTTGAATGGGGCAAGTCTAAGTTGAACTTTTGTACATTAAGAGTTTCCAAAAATAATACAGTTTGATAACTAAATGTTTAAACTAAACTTATAAAATACTTCAAAACTAAACATTGAAAAGATCTACAAAATGACTAGTCGTCAAACACGTATCTGGAATGCTTTATCATTATCGAACGACACAAGACATTCGGAATAGTCTGTTTTGCTAACTGTAACATATCGTCATGATCGTAGAACAATGTCGGATTTGAAAAAAAAATCCACCTTTTATCATATTTGGATACTACATTGACTAAATATTACACTACTTTGAAATAAAAATTCTATGTGTTTTAAATTACAAATTAATCAGTCGGTAATGTGACGGATTTGATAGAAACATGTGATTTTTCTAGAAAACTGTGTAATATAATGTTGTTATTTTTATTTTGTTTCAAAACAAACCCTTTTGTTTGCTTGTATGCCAATTTTCATGATAACAGAATATTAATTAAAATAGTTATTACAAAAATTAACATGATTATATTATTTTGAAATGGCTGCCCTGTAAAGTTTACTATTTGTCAGATCCGTCATTATTCTACGACTATTATTATTATTCTATGATGCAACTACGATATATCCCTTTCGGAATACGAAAATATTTCGTCGTTTAGCTGATATACCGCTGCATCGAAATAATAAGTACAAACCTTTCCGAACGCCGAATAGTTATTACTTATTGAATAGGAAGTGTTTTTTAATCACTATATGTTACGGAAAAAAATGTAAGAAAACATCGGGAGCTCTACAAAACTTATCATTAAAGTTGTTTATCAATATATTTCCGACATTAATGTAGGCTCACTACATTAGAACGATATATATTGAGCGGCGAACCGCGATCGCCTCGAGAATGTTATCGGAAGTCTGAAGGTTCGCAATTGTAGCCACAAATGGAAAACTTACACTTTTGATTGGGCCTCTCAAACCAGTCGGTTATTTTTGGAACTCGACTCAAAAACTTTATTTATTAACGAATATTTTAACGTTTTGTTAATAATTGATAAATTTGTCCCCTGCACCGATTTCATCGTATTCAACACATGTTTTTTTGAGCTCTCACCGACATCGAAAGGACTAAAATATTATTCGCGTATAGAAACAGATGAGATCTTTCAAGATGATAGTGTAACGATTCAAAAAAGGCCGACAACGCACTGGCGAGCCTTCGCGCATCGTAAGTTGTCGAGTCCCGTTTTATAGATAAAAGGCATTCCCTAAAATGGAACTAGAATTATTTTAAATACTGAAAGGTATTATTTTTAAATAATTAAAAAATCTCAAAATTACCTAAAATTATCACAAAACTTTTATCACACAATTACCTTTAAACACACAAAAACGCTAGACCGAGTTGATCAACAATATTTTTCATATTCTGAAACCAAATTGATATTTGATATTTTAATATAATTGTCTTGAAATGTAAAGATTTAGCTGAAACATTATAATTAATACATAATATATATTCTTTGCTTAATCAATTGTTTCTCTTAAATTACAATTATATTTAATTACCAATTTAACACCCGTTCTGACCCAAGTTCTACGTCGTATCCCGCTCGACCAAGGCCGCTTGGGACAGAGAGATCTGCTGGGACCGGGGCAAGCGCCGAACCGGGAACATCTTGATGCAGGGAGCCAATAGATAGACGAGCACCGCACCCGCCACGACGGAGATGGCGCAGAGGGTCCACTGCGCGGCCTTTATCGAGACGTTGACGTCCGGCAGAGACCGGTCGAGGCCGCAGGAGCTCAGCAGGGACCCGGACGCGTTCCACGGACCGGACGTCCGGGCCGCGGGCCCGCAGGACGACTCTCTCCAGCCGATCCAGCCGGCGGACCTGTTGAAGAGCACCTGCGACGGACCGATCGTTTCGACATCATTTTCATTCTCGAAACTACTCGACCGATATCGATGAGATTTGGACTAATAATATAGAATACGTTTTCGGAGACGAGACGAGACCACTGACCTGCAGGCCCTCCATGGCCGTGTAGCCCAGCACCGTGCCCGGAGCGGCCTCCAGCCCCAACTTGTAGCAGAACTCCGAGACGGAGCCGCTCGACGCCGACTTGTTGCGGGCGCTGATCACGCGCATGAAGCTCTGTCGATTTGGAGTCATCGATTAGGCCCCGTTCTCGATCGAATGTCTCAATAGAAGTAGAAATATCAGACCTGAGCCGGGATCTCCAGAGTGAAAAACCGGTCGTCGGCCTCCGAGCCGAGGATGTCGACGGCCAGAGAGGGCAGGTTCCACTCTTGGGGCTCGGGCCAGCAGGCGGCCTGAAGTCAATCGTTACTACAGTGTCGACACTTCACTTCGTGCACTTAACGTTAAGGATGAACACCGACCTCCCCGTGGTACCAGAACTCGTCCAAGACGAGCGTGTTCGACGTCCGGGCCGAACTCCTCAACTCGCCCACCACCCGCCGGAACACGGCGTCGGGCATCCGGATGCCGGTGGTGCCGCTGTCGACGATGCTCTTCTCGGCGTTGATGAGGCGACACTCCTCGAAGTCGACGTCGTTCGGATCCCTCGTTCCGTTCCTCTCTGCGGTGGAGTTCGAGACCCGGATCGCCAGGACGCCGATCTCGTACCAACGCTTTCTCAGTATCGGGGTTCGGAAAATGTATTCGCCGGCCTCGGACGCGTTTCGGTCGTCTGAAACGTTATTTATTAAAGTTTTCCAACCTTTGAGAGAGATAATGAACACGAAATTAGATATTCTTTCAAAACTGAATGAAAAGCAAAAATAAGGAATACATTTTTGATATATTTAGTAAAAGGAAAAATATATGCCAGTAGTTGATTGAGAAATAATTATTAACTCATATATCTCTATGTCTTTATATATAGTCTTTATATTTGTTGATGCAGATTGGAGCTAACCTTGAACGAATATAATAGAAAAAAAAATTATTTAGTTTAGATAAAGATTTAGAGTCAGATAAAGTTGGGCCGGTCGCCCCCCTTTTTATTGAAATGATGTCGATTGTACTATATTTCTGTATACTTACAACGAAGTCTTAATAAATAAATAAAATAATAAATAGCGAAACTAAAGCTGAAAGGTCACCCGAGATAAAAAGTGAACAAGAATTAGCATATTGACAAAATAAACTGGCACTCGTGGATCTCAATTCTCAAGGAACTAATTTGAATAATTTAGCATTGCCATTATTTTGAAATTAAAAATTCAAAAGATCTAGACATCAAATTGAGATTGCGACATTAATTGCTTGTATTTAAAAATGTTTACAATTTTGCCGATTTAAACATTATCAGGTGATCTCGTTATAATATGTTATTAGATGTTATCACCTCACTCTGCAAATGCACCAATTCTGACCTGGCTGCCATTTCCGAGAATAAGATTATAGTGTTTGAATTCGAAATGTCTTTTTAAATATTCGTAGGTTTTGCTTTTTGACGCCATCTACGCAAAATGTTTTTTTGTTTATAAAATACATTACCAATAATCAAATACAAATTACTTCGAAACTAACACGAAAAAATATGTGAGATTTTTGTAAATAATAATAACTAGAGATGCCACGAATATTCGGCTACTATTCTGTATTCGGCCTATTTGGCCACTTTTTTTGGATGCTGAAAAGCTTGTTTTTATCCATCACAACTTACCGCTGATTAATTTTACTTATTAAAATATTGTAATTTGGTAATAAATACAAATCTTGAGTAATATGATGTGTCTTTTTTGTCCACGATTTGGTATTCGGTATTCGGCCGAATAATAAGTACTATTTCAGCATTTGATGGTAGCAAACGATTACGCTTTTCATCGTAAATGATACCAGCTTCAGAAAACAACCTCTCACTATGCACGCTACTCCCGGGAGAAGAAAGATAAACTTTAGCAAATTTTGAAAGGTTTGGGTATTGCTTTTCATTTGCTGACCACCACTTGTAAGGATCAGCTTTCCTATCTAGGCGAGCAGTTTTCAAATAAAAATCTGTCTCATTTGCCACAGTATTCTTCTCCATGTTCTCCTCATCATTACTATTTCGCATATTATCAGTAGCGACTTACTCAAAGCAGTTCCAGAAACTGTCTTGTATTTCAAATGTCTTATCATTTTCATTCAAGTTTCTTTTCTTACGAAGTGGAGAAGAATCTTCATCAGTACTACTAGATTCATCATTACAACTTAGTTTCAGAGCTTCTAGAAGAATTTTTTGTCTTGCTCTTTCTGCTTGAACCAATCCGAGGAAACTTGTTTTGAAACGTGGATCAAGAAACGTAGCGACCAGATATTTTTTATTTTCATCAAAGTTAAATTGCTTTTCAAGCTCAGCTTGCAGTGAAGATCTCACTGTCACTAAATTTGGTATTCTCTCAGCCTTTCCCAGATATTTTAATAAAGTAATTGCATGTGGAATCACTTCAGAGATGCAGGAGATACCTGAGCTGGTTATGTTGGTAATCTCTTCGAATGGTTTGAGAAGTTTGATACATTGTTCCATTAGTTCCTATTGAGCATGAGTTAGATTATTTAAACTTAAAGTTTCATGATCTGTTTTGTACAAGGATTCTGCTCGCTTTTGTTCTAATAATCGCTCCATTAAATAATACGTGGAATTCCAGCGAGTGCTCACATCTTGTACTAGTTGATGGTTAGGCAATTTAAGTTTCTTCTCTTCTAAGCTTGAATGGTTAAAATGGGTAACGATTCGCCTCGCAGCAGCTGCCATCTGTAGTACTTCTGGTTGAGATTTCAGCGACTCCTCGATAGCTCGTTGCAATGAATGAACAAAGCACCAAGCTGAATCATATTAGCCCCACTATCATGGACAAGTAAATGGGTCTTGCTTTTAGGAATATTCCATCTTTCTGTAATAGCCTCGAGTTCTTTTGCAATATTGGCTCCAGAATGTGAGCCAGGAAACGATTTCAGAGCTAAAACGCCATGTTCCAAAATGAACTCAGGAGATATCCAGTGCGCAGTGAAGCTCAAAAAGCTCTCGTTATTATGCTGACATGTCCATATATCAGATGTCACTGATACTGCCGTTGCCTTCGAAATATCAGGAATAACTTTCTCGGTCATGAAAGTGCGACCAGATACTCTATAATGGGGCACAGCGGTTGCCATAAGCCTCTGAAAGCCGACCCGTTCCACAAGTGATAACGGTTCGTTGTCTAAAGCAATCATTTCACCAATCGAGTAATGATATTTTATAGATTTCGGATCATTAATGTCCCACAACAATTTTCTCTCTGATGTTCCTTTCAGGGTTAACTCTCGTTGTCTTGATCTGGACGTTCAAGGTATTGCTGGTATCTTGGAATCGGTGGAAGTAGAAGTACCGCCTTCATTGCTGCCACCGGTCGAGGGAACATTTTTCCACAACTGAGCGTTTTTCAAGGCAGTTTTGCCGCGCACCACCACTATGTGGAATCAGCTGCCCACTGAAGTATTCCCGAACCAATTCGACTTAGGGTCCTTCAAGAAAAGAGCGTACCAATTCTTAAAAGTGGCAGCGCACTCGCGAGCCCTCTGGCATTGAGAGTGTCCATGGGCGGCGGTATCACTTAACATCAGGTGAGCCTCCTGCTCGTTTGCCCCCGTTCTATAAAAAAAAAAAAAAAAACATCAGTTAAAGTAGAGGAGTACCTCAGCATGTTTCGTTCTAAGATGATTTTTTAAAGAAGTTGTAGCTGAAAAAAAACCAAAATGAATTCCTTTTCACGATTTTTTTGATTTGACAGTTTTTATATGCCATGTTCACACAATGACGACTCGTGGAAAATGACGGACAGGTCTCAAATCACGTTTCACCAAAAGCACGAATCATTATTCTTTTGTAACGAGAAACGTCGAAACGAAATTCAGAAAATGTCCACATTTTGATGAATCGTGAAAAATAACGATTGCGTACGCAATGTGAACAGCCAATCGCCATAAAGTGTCGTACGATATCGTGTTTTATGAAGAATCGTCAATGAATAAACAAGCCATTAAATTAAGTTTTGACTTACTTCCTTTCTTTCCTTCTCCGCCTCTTGATATCTTGTTGTTACACAACAAACACTCGGCCAGTTTATCAATCTCATAATATTGCCATATTATGGTCGATTTCTTATTAACTGGTGTAATTTTTTAACACACAAACAAAACTAATGAACTTTTCTACAAAATCGTAGGTGATTTTTTATTTTTATAATGATCTGACAAAGCGTGCCGTGACGTGCTTACTCGCAATAGAAACAAACAATCAAATGGCCACACGCCGCACGCTGCCCGCGCTCGAGTGAGACAGGTCGCGACACGATTTTGCGCTCGACAAGCATGTATTTAGTGTCGAATGTGTTTGTAATGGCCGAATGATGGCATTAAAACAGTGCCCGGGGTAACGAACAGAATAACATTGACTTGTGGGACGGTAAGCCGCGTGCGGTAAACCACCTCGACCCGATGACCCAAATACTTACGGGCACAACCTTAAGAAACACTGGTGAAACAGTATAAGCTTTATTATCCCGCGACTGAAATACTAATATGTATATTCTTTTTATCGGTATTGTATCCGAGACCGTGAATCGCCCCGAAGTCTTCACTCATTTTTAAAAGCTTTTTGATTATTCACCGACAACATTGCAGCCATCGAAATATACCTGCATAGGTTTATGCACCGACCGGCGAAGTTCGGTTTATTGCCCGACACCACTTCGGGCAGCCGAGACGCATTTCAATGTTGCGATGGCTGATTTCGCGCGAGATTAGAAAAGAAAGAGCACGGCGAGCTAAGGATGGGACGATTCGCTCACGGGCAAAGGAAAAATCGTAGGCAGTTCATCTTTCCACGGTGAACTCTTTTTTTCAGAAGCCGCTTCATAGAAAATGGACAAGGTTTAACCTGGATAATAAGACAAAACTGAGATCGAGTTTATCGTGTCATCTAAAAGGCAAATTCAAAGATCACTCATGAATAGCGTGAAAAGGGTGAAAAGCAAAAGTGACCAAAGGATGGTAAGAGGAGTTCTGAATCTCGAATCTCAATTCCAGATCTCCAAAATAGCTTTTTTCGTCTAGACGGGGACGTATCTATGGATAATCTTAATAATGGACGGTCGGCTCTCAACACCTCATACCTTCCCCTAAGACAACGGTACAGAAACTCTCAACTGAATCTTCCAACTTACGGCAGAAACGCGTTCTACCGCTTTAGGACCCCGATGACATCGGATTTCATAGGCAGCTCAACAAAGAAACTAATTCAATAGAACATTTTTCGAGGTCAAGCGATCCAAAGGCAAGAAATTGATCTTTGGGACAAAGCCGGTTGACCGGGCTCAAAATGGAAGACGATGCGGAAGTCTCGACTGAGCCCGACAAAATAAACTAAATCGAGAGATATTATTAGCTACCCTTCTTCTGTGCCTTTGGCGTGTCCAATCCACGAGCTCGGCTCGCTCGACATTACACTGTAATCATAACGGATATCGGCTCATCCGAGATAAGGATAGCTCTGAAACAATTAAAAGACAAATAACCGCCGAGCTACTGTGAGCGGGTCCGATCCTCAGAAATCTTCAGAAACTCTCGACATTCGCTTCGCCTCCGGCCTTGAAAAATAAAAAGTATATGAGCTGTTTTTTAGAGATGAGTACAATTTACCACTAAGCCTAGTGTTTGTAGATCACGACAAAGCGTTCGATGGCATTGAGGCTTGGGCTGCGTCGAGATCGCGACTGAGATGCTGTACTGAGTACCGATACACCGATACATCGAGTGGAAGGGGTCGCCCTCAGTACGTTGAAGTGTCTTTTCACGATGCATCAAGAGATGACTCGGTCTCTCACTTCCAGCCCGGTACGATTAGAAATGATGAAGCCTAAATGGCATCGGGTCGAGCCCGAAGAACGGATGGCGGCCGAGGACCAGTCGGCGAACGAACGAACGAGGAAAGGAAGGCGTTGGATTTTTTTATTTTATAGAACTGGAGGCAAACAGGCAGGAGGCTCATCTGATGTTAAGTGATACCGCCGCCCATGGACACTCTCAATGCCAGAGGGCTCGCGAGTGCGTTGCCGGCCTTTTAAGAATTGGTACGCTCTTTTCTTGAAGGACCCTAAGTCGAATTGGTTCGGTTGTGCGCGGCAAAAACTGCCTTGAAAACGCTCAGTTGTGGAACGGCGGACGTCGAGGTGATACGGGTAATTTCGTATTCTGCCTCGACGTCCGATGATGATGTCGGATGCTTCGAGCCAAAATTAAGGAAAAAGGTCTACGTCCGGCTGTGGACGTCGCGAGGCCAAAACGTATCAGACGTAACGTGACAAATACGAAGAATATCCTCTCACCGAACATTCTCAAGTTCCCATAGTGAGTGGCGTTGACTGGACTCGTCGAGCCGCACAGCTTCAGCTCGAAGGACAGAGGCCTCCCGTTCACCTTCTCCGCGAAGTCCAGCCACGAGCCCACCACCACGCTGTCGCCCCACGCCGCCACCGGCAGGTACGCCAGACCCAGCAGACCCTGAAGATTTATGTCGTAAGATTATGAGCGGCTCTTTTTAGGTTGAGCATTACTGTTTACTTGTCTTAGTTCAACGACAAAGTTTTATTAAGACACATAGTCCTTGAGTAAACTGATGAAAATAAATAGAAATATACATATTTGTTATATAGTAAGTAAATAACTCACCGACTATAAAATGTTTATTAAATGACACTATTTATTATATTTCTTTAAAAATCTATACAATATTTTTATTGGTCATAGACGACAAAGACGTCCTAACTATATATAACACAAATATTATATTCACAAAAAACAAAGACACACCTGCCACCCCGATCCGTTCATAAAGAATTTATAACTTTTTGTGATAAGAGCCAAATCACTTCTCACTTCCGGTACTGTCGGCAATGTGGGGAACTGTATGAAGTCTGAAGCAAGTGTTCCAGACCATGTTCCTTGGGAATACTTGGCTTGCACCTGAAACGTTTAAAAATATATTTAGAAACTTCATGTCATCTGTATATACAGTTATTAATCAGTTTCAATCACAGACAAAAAGGGGGCCAGAATTGCTTTAGTTCTCTAAAATGTTAATTAATTAAGGTGATTTAAACCTCTGCTTCAATTTTTTTCATGACACAAAACTTAAAATATTATTTTTTATTTATACATTACCTATTCATTTATTTTTTAATATAAGAGTAGTGTTAGACTTGTAGATATTGCATGCAATTTCAACTCCTGTTGTGGATTTTTTATATGTGCAATCAACTTTCGGTGTAGTTAAACATCATAAAGAAACCAACAATATAGTAAAACCCTACATCCCTGACATATATAATCCAGCAAAATCTTATAAGAATTTTGGTGCCACTGGATTATTATTTATAATGAGTATTTATTGTTGGCTGTATTTTAAACATGTATTAATTCATCTTTTTGAGATTTTACTATGTCACAGAGTTTTAATAATTATTTACCAACCTCTTTACCACTATTATATAAGCTTGTTGAATTTTCTTTGTGAAAGTATATGTTACTGTCTTTTCTTGCATATGCAGCAATTGCTAATGTAGTGCTTCCTGTATCAACTAATACATGGAGCTGAAAAAAAGTTCAAGAGATAAGATACTTATAAATATACAGAAGACTTAATAAAATGAATGAATGTTTAAAGCTTAAGTTGGGGCAGACAGCATTATTGCACATCACTGAACACTATCAAATTACAACTAGTTATTACCTTAGAAGTTTACGAATAAAATCAATAGACAATTGAAACCTTACACCGCAGCAAGCCCAAAATCCTTAAAGTAACTCAAGTAAAGTTATTATATTTTATTCATAAATACCTTCTGAGGAGGATGCCCTATGTTAATAACTAATGCATAGGCCTGTCCTGCCTCTCCATATAGATTAAATTCTTCGCAGTAGATGTAATTTATAAAGAAGAATACTTGAAACACAGAACTCTTCAAAATGCTCATTTTCGGAATGTATATTTGTCTAATATAAAGATTTAGTTAACGTACAATCTTGATTTTCTCACTAAACTGAAATAAAAAAACCCCATACTTTTTATATCTTTACGGAATTACAGACACCGTAACTTTTCAAGCTTAAATATTGTGTAGTTGTGTACTTCGAAGTTCGACAATAGATTTGAAACATAAACAAATTATCACCACAGAGTAAAAATTATTGAAAATGGACATCTAGCTGTTTTACTCTATACGTTGTAATATGACTATTATGTGTGAATGAGACACCTAATTTATACTCATGTGCTTTTTCCTTTGTTTATGTAAAATGTTCGTAAACTCAATTTCAAATTCAGATGCTGGTTACTTCTAAGACTTTTGAATACTATCTTTAATATATGTAGTAAAACATTAAAATAATGATAAAATATCTATTATCTTGCGGAATTATAATATGGTGGATATCCCATATAAGTTGAAACGAAAATATAAAGAAATAATAAAGTAAAATAAAATTGCAAAAATTTTAATCATATATTAATGATTTTTGTGTAGGATATATTTTTTAAAACATAAAAAAATTGTCTTTTTTATTTTTGCAACATTTTTTATTATATGACGGTTTTACATAAAAATAAAACCGATATTATGTGCCGAGAAGGAAAACATACAGCATTGTATAATGAAGAAGCAATGTATACTTAGCCATGAAGTGCGATACATACCGAGTGAAATAGTTCCTCTTAGATAGAATAGATGGCACAGTAATCGCCTCAACTTCATACTTATCTTAACCAGCTAGGACGTTGTCATTTCCATAGTCATAGAGTCTTCACCAGGAAGAGCTTCCTACAATGCTGTATGTTTTCCTTCTCGGCACATAATATCGGTTTTATTTTTATGTAAAACCGTCATATTGATATGCCGAGAAGGACAACGTCCTAGCTGGTTAAGATAAGTATGAAGTTGAGGCGTATAGTATATAGTAGGCGAGATTGTATAAAGAAGACGTGTTTGTTATCTGCTGGTGGATGTATAAAGTACAGTATAAAACACACCGCTATGATGATTATGAAGAATTAAAGTCAGAGCTTTAGCTAAAGCCGTTATTGTTTATATAACTATTTTATTTACATGCCAATATTCTTAATCAAGGCATAAGTATTTAGCAATTATTATTCTTAGTTACGGTATAAATATAACTATATTGATTGAGATGTACAATTATTAACATAAAAATATAAAATTCCTATTATCACAACAAGGTATTTCTATAATTACGATGGTGCAAATTTATTAAAGAAAGAGTGATGAGTTTTCTCTACGAGAGTCTATCTCGCGGCAGTAATGATTAAAGAATGTATGTATTTGAAAATTTCCAATTACCCCGTGTAATAAAAAAATTCATCTATTTGTTGATTTTCGACCCAATTATTTTGCTGTTGATGGATAAAAAAATATTGTTTAATTTTTTTACTTGAGATCTTCTTGTACCTATTACTCAAAGCTATTTTTTTTAAGGACAGTTCACACGAATTGACCTAGTCCCATGCTAAGCTGGTAAAGCTTATGTTATGGGTACTAGGCAACGGATATACATACATATTATAGATAGATAGACATATAATTACATAATATTTAAACACCCAAGACCTAAGCACAACACCAAATCCTCATCACATCGATGTTCCCATCCGGGGATCGAACCTGGGACCCATGGATTCGCAGTCAGGGGTACTAACCACTAGACCAATGAGTCGTCAGGACTAACTGAAGTCTCACTAGGTGATAGGGCATATGTTTTTATCGTGGTGCTTAGAAAGTTTCCATGTTGACTGGCGTCTTAAGTGTCTGTCTTAGATCCGAATACCGGTGTTAAATGTTACCACCATCATCCATGAATGCTCGTCAGTAATTTCTAATAAAGTGAACCCTGCGGCCCAATGCTAAATGCAATACTGTGGCTGTTCTGCAAGCCATATCGAATAAAGTGTCCCTAGAAGGGTTGGAAGAAAGCCAGTCTAGTTCTATTCACGAGTCCCACGTGACGGATGATTTCACGGCTTTTGGTTTAGCTACTCCTAATACCCTGAGGGTGTGTTTAATAATAAAATTTGAAAATGTTTGTTGTTCTACATGGGGACCGCAAAAAGTTAAAACTGCCGATTTGCGAACAAGGATGGTTGAATAGGATAAATTTTCTTTTAGAAAAAGGACAAGGTGGAGTGACGCCAACTCTTCATAAGTAGATCTTTTTTCTGTGTGGACCAGTCTTTTATTTGGGCACCCCACCTCCAATTTCCCAAACTTTTAGGGTCAATGCTTGTATTTGTGGAGGAGGCAGTGCAGTTGTCGTATCTAGGAGTGTCTCCGATAGGTGTTGAATTTCGTGGGGGTGATCTAGAGACCTGGATTCCAGGTCCTGCAGCCAGAAACCTCGCGGCCAATCTGAAGCAACTATCAGATAGGTTCCCGTCGCCCGGTTCAGGTGTGCTAAAACTCAGGGTAACGGACTTGGAGGGGGAACACCCATGCTAAAGGAAGAATGTGCCACTACGCAGCCTTTTTTCCCTTTTATAATCTGTCTGCTATGATCACCCTGGTAGGTAATGTACCGACAGAGTTATGTTGAATTTGTCCGTCAGGTGCAATAGTTTGAAGGTTAGTGTAAGTAACCCCCCTATCGATTTCGTTCCACCTTCTGTTTGAATGTATGCAATCAGAGTTTCATTTGTCCGATTGTATTAACAAGTGTGTGTAATATTTTTACATTTATTTTTATTGCTGCTATCACTGCATATAGTTCCTTTTTGTAGCAGTGTCACGTTTTCTGTTGGTATGATCATTTTCCTGACAAGGTTCCCGTCTAGATGTGACCCCCCCAACCCCAATCCGAGGCGTCCGTCGCTAGGAAGTGGGTTGCAGGTTCTTTCTGTATAGGCGTCGTCTGATGAGTAGCTCCGAGCCACCAACATCAGTTCCTGCCCTACAATCTGAGGCATCGACGAGGTCAGATCTTGTTGAATTGTCGCAGAAAGATCTGTACCTGGCGACAATGAAGCCTCCCGCGGGGCACGAATTTGCGAAGTTTACTAGCCCTAGCAGACTTTGTAACTCGCGAATACAACGCATAACTATGGTTTTTGCGCTGTATTTTTACCTTGGGTAGCGACATCACATTGACCATAGTATTCCAGCGAATTCCAAGGTATTCTAAATTTTGGGTTGGTACCAATACGGATTTTTGCTAATTGATTTTCCAAGTGTCTCACGGCCTCCGTGGCCGTTCTATGATTATCTGCGATGTCGCAGGTGACGGTTCGGTTGCGTATTGACTTACTATTCGATTTGTTGCCATTAACAAAGGCGGTTTCTTGTACAGAGGTATGTCGATCGTCGCGTCGATCATGGGATCGACCGTTACCTGTGCTACTCGTTTCCTTTTCTTTCGTGGCGGTCCCTCGCGCTCCGAGTCGCTATAGACGCGCTGCTGGTACACGTGGAGTCCTCTTTGTCTTGTTCGTGACCTTGCTCGACACTTTTCTAGACTACCTGCCTGATCGGCGGCGGCGGCGGCGTTATCGGCATCGTGAGTTTATTACGCACTTGTAATGTATAAATAATGCGTTTTGCTAATAATGAACACTAAGAAAGTCTATAAGGTTTTAAGTCGTTATTGAGTCGTTTCGGTTTCGAACGCACGCGGCGAAAGTACACAACGCTATGACTGTGGAAATGACAACGTCCTAGCTGGTTAAGATAAGTATGAAGTTGAGGCGATTACAGCGCCATCTATTCTATCTAAGAGGAACTATTTCACTCGGTATGTATCGCACTTCATAGCTAAGTATACATTGCTTCTTCATTATACAATGCTGTATGTTTTCCGGAGGCACATCAATATACAGGGTGGCCAAAAAGTCGTGGATCAAACGCAAATAGGGGGTAGATGAGGTCATCAGCGGCAAAAAATTGTTCCACGGGAGGTCTCTAAGGTCAACCCCTGCAGAGTTATGATTTATTTTGGTTTTTATATGAAAATTGACTTTTTTTAACTAAGTATTATTAAAATTCGAAAATATCTTCATTCTATATCTTTTCCATAATATCCACTAGATTGGTACTGATGAGTTCTTGCGTTTGACATACTATTTGTAGTTGTTTATTGAGTGTATCGAAGATAATATTAAGTTAAACGATACAACATTTTTTCAAATCATAACTTTTTGTTTACTTCGGACCCCACTGTGAAAAAAAATTACTCTACCGAAAAGTGACCCTGTATTACAAGTATTAATACCTTTTCAGAATCCCTATGAAATGCGCCAAAACTTGTAATACAGGGTCACTTTTCGGTAAAGAAAAATTTATGATTTGAAAAAATGTTATATTGTATCACTTAATATTATCTTGAATACACTCAGTAAACAACTATAAATAGTATGTCTAACGCAAGAATTGATCAGTACCAATCTAGTGGATATTATGAGAAAGGTACAGGATGTAGATATTTTCGAATTTTAAGAAGAATTAGTAAAAAAAAGTCAATTTTCATATAAAAACCAAAATAAATCATAACTCTGCAGGGGTTGACCTTAGAGACCTCCCGTAGAACAATTTTTTGCCGCTGATGACCTCATCTATCCCCTATTTGCGTTTAATCCACGACTTTTTGGCCACCCTGTATACTTATTAATAAATGACTATACTCTCGCTTCCATCTGTGCGATAGAGTATTATAATCTATGGTTTTCTACAGTTCTATATTACATTCTCTATGGTTTTTAGTTTTACTTTCGCGGCTATTTTCATAATATTGTAATTTGTAATTGTAAATAATGTTCTCTATTGTGATTATAATATTATAAGATTGAAAACACTTAGTGAGGACAAAATTTGTGTAAGATATAGAAATTACATATGAAATAACAAGAACTCAAGAAAATTTTATGTGACGTGAAATACTTATAAAAATGAGTCTATGGGTTGATAAACATAGGCCAAAAGATCTTTTAAAGTTAGATTTTCATAAAGACCAAGCAGTACGACTAAAAAGTCTGGTACAACAAAGCGATTTTCCACATCTACTCGTATACGGCCCTTCAGGAGCCGGTAAAAAAACCAGAATCATGTGCCTCTTGCGAGAGCTTTATGGCTCAGGAGTTGAAAGATTAAGACAAGAAACAATGCATTTTACTACTCCATCTAATAAAAAAATAGAAATTATGACTGTGAGCAGTAATTACCACATTGAGGTAAATCCTACCGATGTGGGAATCTATGATAGGGTTGTTATAATGGATCTCGTAAAGAATGTAGCTCAGACACACCAAATTGACTCATCTGGTCAACGTGAATTTAAAGTTGTAATATTAAATGAGGTTGACGACCTAACTAAAGATGCCCAGCATGCTTTACGTCGTACAATGGAGAAGTATGTAGCAACCTGTCGTCTTATTCTCATAGCTAACTCTGTATCACGTGTAATTCCAGCTATACGATCACGTTGTCTAACAATACGAATTCCTGCACCTACCGAAAGTGAAGTTTGTAGTGTACTGCAAACAGTATGCAAAAAAGAGGGATTGACTTTGCCCTCTGAACTAGCATTGAAAATTTCAAAGTGTTCTGATCGAAATTTACGGCGTGCTTTGTTGATGTGTGAAGCATGTAAGGTGCAACAATATCCATTCAAAGCTGATCAAAAGGTACCTGAGCCGGATTGGCAATTGTTTATCAAAGAAACAGCATCTATGATTCTTTCAGAACAATCCCCGAAGAAGCTTGGAGAAGTTCGTCAGAAACTTTATGAACTTATTATTCATGGTGTGCCTCCTGACATGATATTTGCTGGCTTATTAAAAGAGCTTGTTATAAATTGTGATATGGCTATGAAATGTCAAGTAGCTAGTCATGCTGCAATGTTTGAGCACAGAATGAGATTAGGAAATAAAGCCATTTTCCATCTTGAGGCATTTGTTGCAAAATTTATGGCTATTTATAAGAAATTCATTGAAGAATCTGTAGGAGATGCTTTTTGACATGTAATATGTAAACTACAAAAAATAACTTCCTTGAATGTCCTTCCTACGCCCAGCTTAACATGAATAAAAGCAATAAAAAAGAGTTCTATAAATTGGTTTTATTAATTATAAGTATAATAGTTTTTTACTGGAACTTGATTAGCAAATAATCTAAAGTTATCAACAATTGCATGCATCAATGCTACAGTCACTTCATTTGCTAAGAAATCTAGGACAGCACTTTTTGCTGACAGGACCCTTTCAATCATGTAAGCATCTTCAGTTCCTCCTGTAAACACAAAATTTGTATATTTCCCGATATAAACTTAAATCGAGTAAACACAAATCTAAGCTTAAAGTTAGTAGTAATTCAATTTGAAAATAAAAAATACCTATAACTATTTAAATTGTTTTTTATTTAAAGCAGTAGAACAGGCGGTTCTTTAGGCATAAATTTCAATTAAAAACTTAACTAAGTAACTTACTAGGTTGTAAAAAGAAAGATGGAGTTCTTGAATTTCTTACAGCTATTCTTTCTTGACCAATTATTATGTAGTCTTCTGTATCATATCCTCGTTGACCTGTCCATGAATATGTAATATTGGTTTCAATATCACCTGCAAAAGTTCATATTAGAAAGTATATATATGTATATATAAGTAAATAATACTATAATTTATAGTATTATTTACTTTACATTATATATTTGTACTTTTATATAAAACAAGTTACCGTAGTTAGTTTAGTAGTAAGTCATTCATTTATCACTAGATGTCACTTTTCGCAGATTCACTAGTACCAGATTCTGCCATAACTTTTATATTTTTTTTATTTAAATTATATTGAAATCTGTTTTATCTTTACAGAAAAACATATTAATATAATTAATCACCATTACCAAAGTTTTAAATCCTTTTCTATTATCTTAAGTGATATCTTGGTATTTTTAGTGTATGTACTACTACTACTAGATGGAGTGACATAAAGAAGAAAATTTATAGGTATTGAAACAATTTAAGCAACAGAATAAGTAAATTATTTTATTAGCCTCTGAAACACAATCCTTGTTGCTTGCTAATCTTGTTTTACCTGATGCCCAACTGTGACTTTAATTACTATGAAACAATGTTTATTACAATTGATTTATAACTTGTCTTGATGATTACATGAATACTTAGACATAAAAATTAGGTAGTTTAAAACAGGTTTAAATAACTACTCACTCAAGTCCATTGTTAGGACAGAAACATGGGGATCCGTTCGCCCAGCAAAAGACATGGTAATTTCCCCCACAACATGCAAGTCACTTTTAAAACGAACACTGTTTTTACCATTATTAAAATGAAATCTGTATGAAAAGAAACATTTAGGTTTTAAATTAATCGTTCAATATTATATTCAATAGAATTTAATTTATCTTAATAAATATATCTTTATAAAATATATATATAGTAAGTTTTTATGTCACTGAAACGGCTTAAAAAGCTTAAACGGCTGGTCCGATTTGAGTGAATTTTTTGTATGCGGTTGGATTCAAGAATTATTTAATTATATAGGTAACAAAATGTACACTTATTACCTAGTTCTCCAGCCCGGCATGTCAAACAAGTCGCTGCGGTCGGTACTTTCATACTTTGTTTAATATCCTAATCGCTTGAATCAACGAAATTAGGATAAATAAAACATTGTTTTAGAAGATAATAAAAAAAATTATATCGTGTGGAGATGCTGGGATTTGAACCCAGGACTTTCAGCATGCGAAGCAGACACTCTACCACTGAGTTACATCCCCGACACATAGGTAATTGAAATTTTGAAGCATATCCATGACGTATTCAAATACGATTTTATGTTTGTTCTCTATAGAGTGGAGACTCTTGAATGATATCGACAATTATACAGGTTGCCGGTTGGTAGACAATACCGGTGATTGCATTAATGTTAATAATATATACAGTCAAAACCGTTAACGACGACATCACTTAGAACAACATATCGGTTATATTAACCAAAATCAAAGGTCCTGGCTTAATTCTATTGCATTCGGTTCTTAATAACAACGTCATCGGCTGTTACGACTATCGGTTTTCACGACCAAATATGAGTAGTCCCTTCGATGTCGTTATAACAGATTTTGACTGTGTTATGTAATACGTACATACTAAATATTTAATTGAACAGTGTACCCACTTCCTATCCACGAGCTTAGTCCACCTAGCTCCTGTGACGTTAACCTTTCTGAACAGAAATGACATTTGCTCATCGGGTACAGCGACCGTCACGCTGTTCAACACCATGGGGTCGACAGGGTTCATACCCAAATGACCAGAATCCATAAGAAAAAAGAACGTTCGAAGTCCTCGTCGAAGGCATTCTATATCATCAGCACGGCACGCTGGGAAGGGCAAAGGAGACTTTGTGGACGCTGAAAAATAAACACTCATGAAAGCACTACATAATTAACCTGCTAAATATTGTGTGGGTAATCGAACATTATTCTAACGGAAACAATTTATAGTCAAATTCGTAGAGCTCTACCTAACCAAGTATGAACTAATAAATAATTATCGTAATCAAGTACTTCTAATAAGACCATTCGTTTAGCTTCACATATTTCTTGTATTTCCACACATGGATTTATATCGTCAAAATTGACATCAGTCGCTACGACGGAGGGGCTAATTACACTTTGAAAGCGCGAACGATGCGTGATTTCGATATTGGTAGCCAAAGAATTAGCGCGGATAATTTGCGCTACAAACATTTGGTTAAGTTACCACTCCAACAAATGATTGGCGAAGCTAAACCACAATTGTTAATTGGAGCTGACAATTGGCATCTCATCGTTTCCAGAAAAGTATACAGTGGGAAGAAAAATGAACCGGCTGCATCTTTAACCCGATTAGGCTGGATTTTACATGGTACAGCACCTATACGAAGTTTAATGGAAGACAACGAACGTGTTTTGCACTGCATAAAAAAGGCGGCAGAAAGCGACGTTTACAAAGAAACAATAGACGAGCGTCTAGAGGCGATATTAAAACAAAGTTTTGCAATAGATGCCTTGGGTATAAATAATAAAAAAAGGGTAACAAGTGCCGACGCACGTGCAGTTCAATTGTTCAATACAACAATAGAGAAACGGGAAAGGCGTTACTACCTGGGGTTGCCGTGGAAGACTGATAACACGAAATTCCCAGAAAGCTATAATATGGCATTTAATCGGCTTAAAAGCATTGAACGGAAAATGGATCAGTCGTATGAGTTTAAAAAGTCGGTGTCTCAGTTAGAAACTGTACAAACACTGTCTTCAGTTGTACCTAGATGGTATATTTACACGAGGGGAGGAGAGATACAATTGCATGTGTTCTGTGACGCATCTGAACAAGCACATGCGAGTGTGGCACATTGGCGAATTAGAACCGATGTAATTGAGGACAGGTTCATCACAGCAAAAGCACGGGTGGCATCTATTAAGTCACAGAGTAAACAGCGGCAAGAGCTACAGGCAGCTGTTATCGGAGCGAGATTATCTGTGGCGATTAGAGAACACAGAATTGAACCAATCAAGATCGTGCTATGGACGGATTCAACAACGGTATTACAATGGATCAGAAATGAGAAAACGAGGCATCCACCATTCGTTGCACATAAATTAACTGAAATAACCAAAACGACGGATGCTAGGCAATGGCGTCGGGTTTCAACCAGGGTTAGAGCCACAGCTTACGTACAACTATTTATACGCAAGCTTAAAGATCATAGTTGCCGATTAAGCGTAAGCAATCGGTTACTGCGTGTACGTGTGCGTTTAAGAATATCGATAACAGAGGTGACAAGGAGTCACATTCTTTTAGATGGGTGTCATACGCTTAGAAAAGGAGGCCTTAATAAAAAGCCATGGGGCGCGATTTTTACGTGCCTAAGTACTAGAGATGTAAATAATATTGAGATAGTTGCGTTGAAGCACATTACCAAAAGAACGTGGAAGACGGCGCAAGCATTAGCAGATGAATTTTCGTTGTCCTACCTACGGAAAGCTTCACGTCATAGGAAGGTTTCGCTGAGGGGAGACTGTTACGGACAACGAACAATACAGTTTAGAAAGCCGACGAACGAAGCTGCCAGCCAGATGTTCTTCTAGGAAACGGTCGGCGGGACGCAGGTAGCGGAAGGGCCGGTCGGTCCCTTTGACCAGCGTGGTAGTTTTAGGTTTAGTTTTAAGCTATTATTTGTATAACGATTAGATAGATTTACGCAGCCGTGCCGGACGGACGTTAGTTGTAAGCATGCTTCGCTGTATTATTTTGTGTCACCATCACTAACGTTCGACCAATAAACGGTAACAATTATAACTCCACTCCGAGTTTCATTTCGAGAATAGCGGCGGTGGTTCAGATCGACACCGTACGCTTATAGTTTGGTTTGTCGGATACATTTCAGGGTGGGTTGTTAAAAAAATTGTGAAAAAAATTAAATGTCATACATGTTGCAGTGCGTTAATATCTGATCGACGATTAACCTTTCACAGATTAATTAATTTGAGAAACTTAGGTGGTTTGCTTTTTCCCACACAGGATGTATATGATATATGTATCAAAACTGAATCACTTTTGAAACTTCACAAAAAACTAAATGGCAATCATTATATACGTAATGAAAATCAGTATAAAGTTTTTCAAACTAAAATATTGAAATTGTTTATTGAATCGAATGTTTTTAATAATTTAAATGACCATTCTCTGGAGCAACCGGCAACTTGGAACCATAAAGTTCTATTGATAAAATCTGTTATCAAATACTACGCTGGTGTACGCCTTCATTATCTTCATAAAAATGTTAATAAAATAACAAAAAGGCAAAAGTATAATAAATTGATTTTGTTTCAAGGAGAATAAATAGCCATTATTAGTAAATTATAGTGTTTTTTACTTGATCACGCCTCTACATTTAAATATACAGTCTACCTACTATGTAATAAAAATATATATAATAAATAAAATATATAATAAAAAAGATTAATGTGTTTGCGGACCGTACCTTCTACACAAATTGCACTGTTTTTGGACGCCATGTTGACGCACACATTCAAACGTTTTCGATTTCAACCTATTACAAGGGCAGAAACACGATTTTTAAACTACTCATTAGTGTGCGTGTGTCGGCATTTTGTTAATGCACACATTCAAAAACAATGCCACAGTTTTTGGTGTCGGGGCCTATCTAACGATATAAATCCATGTTTCCACAGAATATGCTGTTGTATATAATATATTTACAGAATGATACGTAACTGCTATCTTAAATTAATCTCATATAGAGACAGGTCGTGAATTAAAAGGTGAAAAACTTGGTATAGGATTAATCCTACTTAAGTAGTTATTATGTTATACACCTGACGTGTATGTAACATCAATCATTATTATTATTCAGCAATTACATAAAACATCAAAACAATACCTTTTACATATATAAGAAAATAGATTTTTAGCTTGACTATTATGGATATTCGATATTCCCACATAAAAATATATAAATTAATATTTAATACTTTTCATTCACTAAGTAATACAATGTCAATTAATGCAAATAAGAAATATCGTTATTTAATACAAAAGTATTCCTAAAAAGGAATAGATTTATTTTAAAGGAATTTACTAATTAAAACACAAAAGACACAAGAATTGACTAAATTCGTATTACCGTTACCAAACAACTTACGTAAGTACCAATAAGTAACAAGGTTCTAGACTTGCTTAGATTTATTATATTTTGTAGTTAAGGAAATATATTCGAAATTATGTAACGAGGTCAAATAATTCAACTTTTACGAATTAATATATTAACAAGGTTTCATGGAGAAATGAATATAATCTTAAATGCTAAATTGATAAAGATTAGCTTATTTATTGAAGACGTCAAAATATTTGTCGGCTGCCCGGTACCAACATAATATAGGAAACATATAAACTGTGGCAATACAACCCTTGGTTTTGAGCTCACATTTTTGTATATTTAAGTGCTTTCCCTAATTGGCAAGTAGGTGGATCAGCCTGCTGTGCCTGACACAATCCGTAGACTATTGGGGTCTAACGTACGCCGGTTTCCTCAAGATGTCACCGTCTGAGCTAGTGTTAAATATTCACATACAGAGTTCGAACTTACGACGTCAGGGATGAGAGCTGCACGCTCAAAGTAGTGGCCAACACTGCTCTCACACAATTATTATAAAAATATGCAAAATTTTAATTTTTTTATCAAAACAACTTTGTCTAAAGCTAATGACACGTCTGTAAAGCCATTTTTGGATTTTTTTTTGCAAATAATACGTTTAATAAGGCAATAAAAGGTAGGTGGATAAATTATGGTAAGGTGTAGGAGTAGCTAATTGAATAAAAATGCTAACAGCTGACATATTATTTAAATCAAGGAAATACAAACCCGTCCTACAATACAATTTAACAACGAGACTATCTAAAACTCAGGATATCCCCGATATTGGTGCTTCATATTATATTATAACATTTGCCCCAAATTTATATTTCTTCTATTCTACTAATTAAAAAGCAATTTAAAATTTAAAAATAAACCGATAAAAAAACAAAAAAAAAATTATTATATAAGATATATAAACTTACATATATACTCATAATTCCTGAAAATAGGCAGTTGTCCATAACAAACACAAAATGAAATCAAGACTAAAAGAGCACTATAATTATTAAACATCTTGAACTCGCCACTCCAACTTTGAGAAAACGGTCTGCTTGATCGCAACACTTTTATATACTGGGTTTATTTTTTAAAAGCATCGCAGTGACGCGTCCCGTTACTTGAAGATTAATTTTAAATTGTTATTTTTGACCAATTATGAGTTCTAAAATCGCCATCACATCTCCGTATGGTTTAATTAAGGGGCTAAGTTGTTTTTGGCGAACACATCGATTAAAATTAGAATATCATTTGATCAAACATAGAAACAAGTTATCTATGTAGGTAACATATGAGGATAAAATTGTTTTATTATAGTAGTATCACAGCACAGATTCTTGATTTGACTAACTAATGAGTATTACGAATATTTGTGAGTTGTATGTATTATTGTTTATATTACATTATAACCTAATCCAAAATCTGATTTTTTTCTGATTTAGATTCTAATGCACGACAAATTTTATTAAGTCGAAAATCGAACTCTAGCCCTCATATTAACACAATGAATTAGCTACAGACCTTTTGACCAAAAGACTATGTATATATATATATTATATATATATATATATTGTAACTAATCTTAATATTGTCCTTTTAATTGACTATAAGCCTTAAATAGTTTTGGATTAATTTGTCTTTATCACTCTCGTGACACTTCACAAATAAATGAACGTGACAAAACGTACTTTAACTAATTGAGGCTTATTGTACGTCTATGTATATCATCGCACATAAACAAGATATCTATATTATGTACTACTTAAATATAGAATCATTGGAGTGTAAATTAATTTATGTTTGGATGACTAAAATTTTTTTAATAATGTTTTAGATAATATAGTTCCCTAAAACAATAACAATCGTATTAAAAAAAAACATTTAATCACATAGGTAACATAATGTACACTTATGACTTGTCAGTAAAGAAATACATATTAATGCTTCTAATTTTACATTTACTGCCAGTTCTCAAATCAATGTCGTAGAACGGGAGAGAAGAACCGGCAATAAACTCTCCGCCACTCTTTTTAATCGCCATTTTTTTGTTTTACAAAATGTTTGTAAGGAGCTGCAACCATTACACCATGTCTCATGTGACATTTTAAGTAATTAATAATAATAACATAAATTAAAAACAAAGATTTGTCCTCTATCAGCAGAAGGCATGGTGAAATAGGAGCACGCACTTACATTCTCGTGGGAACAACACACAAACACATAGTCGAAATAACCAACATCACCGCATACACGAATTCAAGTACGACCAGTCACCACAAGCAGCACCCGTTCACGAGCATGACGCATGGCCAGCCATCGGCCTATTGCATATTGTCTTTGCCGGCCATACACGCTACGGTCTACCGGAGAGGTAATCTGTGCAGGTATGCCTGCGCAGGTCAACCGAACAAAGGTAGCGTGTATGGGGACGTTCCGGTGTATCGGAGCGGTCTTCAGTTCTCTTTGCGATGGCATCGAATGTGGACGATGACACGCTGGCGTTGCTAGGTCTTGTTTTAATTTTGAAGAAAAATGATACGAAAATCAAGCGAAGAAAGTGTTGTAAGCATTGGTTATTGAAAAGGAAAACATATAGTCATGTTAATTTATTAAATGAATTGAAATTTGAACCAGAAGATTTTAAAAACTATCTTCGAATGGACGAGAAAACATACATTAAATTACTTGAACTGGTTACTGCTATAATAAAAAAAGAAGACAGTCAAATAACAAATCAAACTTAAAACATAAGTAATAAATGTAGATACATTGCCGATTACTATCTTAACAACCTGCGCAGGCGACCGGAGTCACGCACAGGTACACCGTACGGTGTCACTAGAAAGAATTGATTTTCGATCTTGCGTTTGAACCTGCACAGGTCTATTCCCACACACATTCCGGTCTACCTGTGCAGGCATACCTGCACATGTGGACCTCTCCGGTAGACCGTAGCGTGTATGGCCGGCAATAGATGATGCTATTCTCGATTGAAAGCGATACGAAGCCTTCCGAAGTTTATCTTAAAATAGATGCGTTACACTTTCATTTTATTCTAACAATTCTTATTTAAAATTTATAAAGAATTTCAAAATACTATATTTAAATAAATATGATATTGTAATGTATACTTATAATGAATTTTATTTCTTTATTATTTATAAATTTCTTTATTATGAGTAAATGTTTGTTGCGTTACTTAAAATAATTACTTACGATAATAATATCGTAGTTCTATGTACTTTTAAAAAATTTGGTTCTGGTTAACGCAGACGTTTTGGTCTCAACAATTGTATTTAAGTCTACATCAAAGAGAATTATCGGAATTCTAATTATGGTTAGTAGCGCGTTAGTAATGCGACAGCGACCCCGAACTCTGTGATGCGGTCCTGTTGAAACGAAGTGAGCTCGTTCCAGTGGATACTGCCAACTGTACTCGTAAGTAGAGAGTCTGTGCTCCTTGGCGGCACAGCAGAGGCAAAAATGTTTCCATCTTGCAGGTAATGTTTACATTTACAAACTTGATGGTATATTTCGCATCGGACTTCGAATTGCAAACTCATTCTTTTATATTTTATTAACATATGTAAAAAATAAAATAATTAATGGGTAATTTCGTTCCATAAATCATGTGATCAACAAATATTGGGTAAAATGAACAGCACACCTTTTTTATTCCAATGTCAGATCTTTTCTGTCCTTAGATGTTCATAGTTTTAACTCAAAGGATGCCGTATATTTGCTAAATATCATGTTTGAAACCGAACTAAATTGGTCTCAATTTACTCAAGCATAACAATATTTTTAAAGCTCGAAAACGTAAAACACAAATTACGTACCGGGCTACGGCTTTTAAACATTTTTTTTATTTATGAAATCGTTTACAAATTGACAGCTACATATTTTAAACTAGCCAGAAAATTATTTTCAATTCGCAATATTGCGAATTCAAATTGCGTGTGTCTATTATCTCAGATAAAATGTCAAACAATCGTATGTATTAGCACAAATATTATTATAGATTGCGTGGTAGACACATTTTTGACTATGATTAATTTAATTTTTTAAAATCACATAGAGGAATGCCATTCCGTGCCTATTACCTCAGAGCTCACTCACGGAATCGTTACAGGACATTTATTCAAAAATATATTTTTTTGTAATAAAAATATTCTTACTAAATGTTTAATAAAACATACTTTGCTATTTAAGGCTAGTAATGTGTTTATATGATACCGATTGTGTACTGACGCCAGCGTTGCCAGATTTTTTTATTGTCAAGGCGGGATTTTAGAACTTTTTGAGTTAAAAAAGCGGGAATCTCCACGATAGCGGGACATAGTAACTAAAGGTGATATTTTAAATCAGATTTACGCTATCGTTAAATACTTGTCTTCTTAATAAAAAAAATAAAATAAACAAAATTAAACCAAAAAAGTATTCATTAGACAATTATGGCGTTTCAAATAATTGTCAGAACGGAGGAATGAGTATATGATATACCTGGTATCTTTTTTTGGTAGCTGTTAAAAGAGCTGGTGCCATTTCTGAGCATGGCAGTGGTGTCTTGAGTTTACCCCAAAAAGCGGGAAAAAGTCTGTCCCGCGCGGGGCATTTCATTTTCATTAAAAAATCGGGACGTCCCGCCAAAATCGGGACGTATGGCAACGCTGACTGACGCATACAATTCTCAGTAATACTATATTCATAGTTAAGATGCAAGCTCGGTTGGATAATGGATGCTAACATCTTCAGAACTACTTGAATAATGCTGGCCAGGCGGTTTCACTGCAATAGTATCTATCAACAACTTCGTACCTGTGACTTCAAGTAAAGGTAGATAAAGAGCATAATATATTATTATTTAATCTTATATTGAAACATTTTTTATTTGAACGAAATGTACTCGGAAACTCTTTCATTGGTAACGCTGTGTGAAGATATATTTTAAATCCAGCAATTTTTTTTGAATCATAGCTAGTTACTAAAGGAATGAATACCATGTGTCTGTTTGAATTCTAAGAAATATCCCGTGAAACTTTATGTATATAGAACGAATTTTATTCAAATTTTAATTAGGTAATAAATCTAGGAAGCGGAGCTACTTCATTTATATCTTTATATTAAAAGTAATAAAATGATGTACTTAATCGCTATTTATGAGCTTTCAATTAATTTAATACGACGTAATTTATTACATGATGTCAATCTCAAAACTGTTCTTTTATTCACCAAAATATTTAATTTTCGTCGTACCCTCAAAGTCCAACGTTAATTGGAATTTAATGACGATGATTACGAATAATTGGAAGTGTTTTATTATAACCAAATAATAAATGCATTCTTCGTAAGATTAAATCATGTTGAATTTATCATTTATTCCAATTCCTGTCGTTCGCATAGTAAATGTCAGTTGAACTAGATTCTTTAACGTAATGCCAATGTATTTTTCAAGGGCAACAACAAAATATATATTTTTATACAGTCGTTAACTTGGCCACAAGAGGATGCGCCTCATACTGACTCTCAAAAATTTGTGTGAAAAACCGTGACGTCAAAGGTTCATTTGACTTATTAAGGGTAATAAATTTACGAAGTGATAATGACGCCCTCATAAAACACCACAAAACACAATAAAATTAATGGTTCATTAAGAATCGTTAGCCGATTTCAATTGGTTTGTCAATACACATAATAATTTGGCACGAAATAAATAACACTCATAAACATGACTCAATGTAATATTATTAGTCATTCTACTCACTTCAAAAAGACTTATAATTTTTAAGATCTGATATTGTGAGATATAGCTGCCGAGACTTTTATAGAACAGGGGGCAAACGGGCAGGAGGCGCATCTGATGTTAAACGATACTGCCGCCCATGGACACTCTCAATGTTAGAGCGCTCGCGAGTACGTTGCCGGCCTTTATTGGTACGCTCTTTTCTTGAAGGACCCTAAATCGAATTGGTTTGGAAATACTTCAGTGGGCAGCTGGATCCACATAGTGGTGTTTAGTTCTGGAACGACGGACGTCGAGGTTTTACGATATATACGATACACCTACAAATGGGAGAAACAAACATAGAGATAATATGACACATTCAACCCATTCTAAGTAGTTACTTTCTATAAAAAGAAACAAGAAACATTAGTCATAAATATCAATGACGAATGTTTTTTTTTTTTTTTTTAATAGAACGGGGGCAAACGGGCAGGAGGCTCACCTGATGTTAAGTGATACCGCCGCCCATGGACACTCTCAATGCCAGAGGGCTCGCGAGTGCGTTGCCGGCCTTTTAAAAATTGGTACGCTCTTTTCTTGAAGGACCCTAAGTCGAATTGGTTCGGGAATACTTCAGTGGGCAGCTGGTTCCACATAGTGGTGGTGCGCGGCAAAAACTGCCTTGAGAAACGCTCAGTTGTGGAACGTCGGACGTCGAGGTGATACGGGTGGAATTTCGTATTCTGCCTCGACGTCCGATGATGAAACTCAGCTGCAGGTATTAATCCGAACAACTCCTCTGAACACTCTCCATGGTAAATGCGGTAGAAGATGCAGAGTGACCCCACATCTCTACGCAACGCCAAAGGATCAAGCCGCTCGGAGAGGGATTGGTCGTCGACGATTCGAACCGCTCTGCGTTGTATACGGTCAAGTGGAAGGAGCTGGTACTGGGGAGCCCCCGCCCAGAGGTGAGAGCAGTACTCCATGTGGGGCCGAATTTGCGCTTTATATAGTTGCATGCGGTGGCCCGGAGTGAAGTACCGTCTCGCCTTGCTGAGCACACCAAGCTTTTTGGAGGCTAATTTAGCCTTTCCCTCCAAGTGACCGCGAAACTGAACGTCGCTCGATATGTCAACGCCAAGTATTCCAATGCTGGCTGTGGCTTTAAGAAGAGTGTTTTCGAAAGAGGAGTAGCGACAAAGGGTGTTTTTTTAGCGGAAAACGCGCAAACTTGTGTCTTCTTGGGGTTAAATTGGACTAGGTTTTGTCTGCCCCAATCTGAGACTCCACGAAGTAGAGTTTCAACTTCAGACACAAGTTTGTTCCGGTACTCATCAACAACTGCCCGAGAAATACCTGCCCGGCCAGTGTAAAAGTATCCCCAGTACTGTCATCCGCATAGCAATGAATGTTGCTAAGTTTCAACATATCATTGATATGCAGAAGAAATAGGGTCGGGGATAGAACACAGCCTTGTGGGACCCCAGCGTTTACGGGTTTTAGGTCGGAACATGCTCCGTCGATGACGACCTTGATGCTCCGATCGGCCAGAAAGCTGGAGATCCAATTGCGTAATTTCTCGGGAAGCCCATAGGCTGGAAGCTTCGAGAGCAGTGCTCTGTGCCACACCCGATCGAAGGCTTTCGCTATGTCCAAACTAACCGCTAGCGCCTCCCCCTTGGACTCAATTGCCTCTGCCCATCTATGTGTAAGGTATACAAGAAGGTCACCAGCTGAACGACCACGACGAAAGCCGTACTGATAATCAGCTGGTGGCCCTCTAGATACCTCAAGAGCTGGCAATTAACAATGGATTCCATTATTTTGGAGAACAAGGAGGTTATAGCTATTGGGCGATAGTTGGACGGATCAGAGCGATCGCCTTTTTTAGGGATCGGATGTATCAAAGCGGTCTTCCAGCACTTCGGGACAGTGCCGAGCGAGTACAGGTACCGGAAAAGGCGCGTTAAGACCGGAGCCAACTCAGGAGCACAAGTACGCAGCACAATTGGGGGGATACCATCCGGCCCGCTCGACTTATGAATGTCCAAGGAAGATAGTGCTTTGCGGACAGCACGTTGCCGGAATGTGATTTCCGGCATCGAAGAATCACACCGCGAAATGGTCGGTGGTGATCTCCCTCGGTCATCCAAAGTCGAGTTAGACGCGAAGAGACAGCCCAAAAGGTCAGCCTTCTCCTTCGCAGTGTGGGCCAGAGAGTCATCCTCCCTGTGCAGTGGCGGAATGGCGGGCTGACAAAAATTCCCTTGGACAGCTTTGGCGAGAGACCAGAAGGCTCGAGTCCCTGATGGGAGTTGGGCCAATCTCTCGCCAAATCTGGCAATGTGCTCTGACTTTGCCTTAGTGATTTCCCGTTTGAAGGACCTGGAGGCTGAGTTATATGCTTTTTTAAGTTCGCTGGTATTGGCATCACGAGATTTCGCCGCTTCCGCCCATGCCTCAAAGCATTCTCGCTTTCGACGCGAGGCCGCCTTGCAAGAACGTTTAAACCAGGGCTGAGACTTGCCACCGATCGGCACCGCAGAAAATGGAATAAAGAGTTCCATGCCCTGCAGAACCACTTCGGCGACAGAGGCGGCGACGGAATCTGGAGCTTCCGGCGAAAAGCACATAGGCCCCCAAGGGTAGGACGCAAAGAAAGACCGCATCCCGTCCCAATCTGCTGACTTATAGTGCCAAATACGGCGACAACCCATAAAGCGGGGCCGTGAAGGGCGCGTAGATGGCACAGTACTCCGGACCACACAATGATCTGATGAACCCAATGGCGGGTCAACAGAGACTTGATAGTTCTCCGGATGAGAAGTCAGCAGAAGGTCCAACAAAGAGGGTTTATGACCATCCACATCTGGTATTCGCGTAATCGCAGGGACCATTTGTGTCAGGTCGTAGGCTAAAGCAAAGTCGTGAAAGGATCTTCCCGCGTGATCGGTGGTTTCAGAGCCGAGCCAATCGGCATGGTGGGCGTTAAAATCGCCAAGTATCACGATTTCAGCGGTAGGAACCCTTTCGAGCAGGGAATCTGTAGCCATTTGGATGTGCTCAATGAGTCGGTCAGTTTCGGTATTTCCGCTATGGGACCTATACAGGCATGCGTAGAATCGCGGATGGTCATCGCAGTCTACGCGCAGCCAGAGGTTAGATAGGTCCCTTCCTTCAAGCGTCCCGAGGCGACGAGAACAGATATCCTCTCTGACGTACACGCAAACTCCAGCCCGCGGCACAAATGAATGTTCCAATTTGTACCCCGGGTAGGATAGGTGGGAAGTATCAGCCGGGGAGGATATCTGAGTCTCGGTAAGAAAGAGCAAGGCCGGCTTCGCAGTCTCTAGATGATAGTGGACAGCGTTGATGTTAGAATTAAGCCCCCTAACATTTGTGAAGTCCACGGCGAGTGTGGACGGGGGTGCCTTTGTATAATTGCTCCGTTTGCCCCGAGGACGATTACTATTTTTGTAGAGCGCAGAATTGCCCCCCCCAGAATACGAAGGGCAGTCTGTGCGTCCACCACCGGGTGCTGAGTGTCCCGGTGGTGGACGCCCAGAGGGGGATTCTCCACCGCGAGCGCGTGTGGTACTCCCCTGGGGTAGATTCTGTTTTTTCTGCACCTTCATATTTCTTGTGTGGGGGGGGGGGGTGGGCTCCGGGAATCTCTCTCACCGCACGAAACGCGAGTACAAGAAGGCGAACCTTTTGCATCACTTCACGCCGGTTTTCTGAGAGACAGTGGTACTGCCCCGGTCGTGCCTGCCCATTTGGCTGAAGCCCGAAGGCAACAGCATGGCACTCCCACTAGGAAGGGGTTGACTGATTGCGCTGATGAAATAACCTCTGTCACAGGTTATTTCACCAGTGGGCGATGGGGTCGTCACGTCCCGACGCCTAAATGACGAATGTTCTGTTGATGACCTTATGAGGTATATTGATGATTTGAGTTATTCATTTTATTTTTAACGTAAAGTAGGTACTTTAGGCACTTCATACATCTTCGATAAATTTAAATTTATCACTTGCTTGTGACAGATAGGGAGACAATTCTTAAACGGGACATTAAAACATAAATAACATTATATCTGAGTCAAGATTTTCATTAATTAAAAATTATTTGGGAAGTCAAAAATACATGTCATTTTACCGATTAATTCCAACAATATATTGCATATGTGACTTGCCTCTGTTTAATTCCTACTTTGGTTATAATAAAACATTGATATACCGCTATGCCAACAAGAAAATCACAAATCATCAAAATATTTTGTACTGAATGTTACGATTATAACAAAATAATCCCCCTCTTCGTTGACGGTCATTGAACGCGCCCAAAAAAGCTTATCGTGCAAATGTAAATAAGTTAATTATTTACATATAACTAAGTTCGTCTCACAAAACAATGTCCGATTATTTGTATGTATTTCTGTTAAATACTCAAACCAGATACAAGTTTTTGCAATTACCAAGGGAAAATATTTTACTAGAGATATAATAAAAGCAAAAAATGCTTTGTTTTTGTGAGAATTAAAAATATACTACAATATTTTAATTATTTTCAACTCTAAACATCAAAGGCTCAAGGTAATTCCGAGCTAGTAAGAATTAAGAAATACTTCCAATTCCAGCCGACAACACGGATGACCCATCTGGCGCGTAAGTGCACATGGGCACTTTACATTAGATACCTTTGGGTGATTGTAAGTCAGTTTAGCCCGAGCATATTGAATATAAAAGTTTGTGCGTACGACGTGACGATATGTTTGGTTAAAAATAATAAAATATTAAAACATTTGATTCGTTTTTATTAGTAAACAAAATACAACGTAGTTTAACTTATTTTCACACGCCCTTCAAGAATGCGTCTTTGGGCAGTATTTTAGCAGAGGCTCGTATGTTATGTACTACTGTCACATATGCCTTTTCGACAATCGCACAGACCAGGCTATTACCCTTGTCAGCAGAATTCGACTTTATTTTTTCCCTCTCTGGTTGAATATCCGGATCTGAAATTAAATCGGTATTCATCAATCAATTCCTAATTAATATTAGCATTTTTATTTTTATACCTATTGAATTTTTACTGATATTTACGTGCTCGTTTTTAATTTGGTGTCTTTCTTGTTCTTCGTATACTAATTAAACAAATTGAGTTTAATATTTTAATTTTGACTTTTATTAACCTTGCCTTATTGCAAAAGAGCAATTATTCAGTATCAGTTCAGAATGGCGCTTGTAAAAATCCCAGTCGGCACGGGGTTTCCCATTAGCAATCATTGTCAATTATCTCACACATTACATTTGTATAACCTTAGATCTTAATTGGCACTGAATCAACCGCATCAGTTAGTTATTTACCATTTATTAGCTTTCACAGACGTCAAGACTTTTGTCTTAAAAGAAGTGTCACAACTGTCAAAGCACAAAATATTCACACAATACAAAATAAACCGCTTTTAATAGCGTGGCTAAAATTGTTTATTAGTTTTGTTCCTAATCGTATATATAATTTATCTGACGTCCAGTGGTGGCCAATAATTATTTATTACAATGATAAGTGATGTTCATGTTAGATCTTGGCACCTGCATGAATTATCCATATTTTTACTGATAAATAAATTTATTTACACCGGTCTGCAACAAAAATGATGTCTGCATGTTTGCAACTGATTTCTATGTATTTAGGTGAAAACTAAAAAAATAATCAAAATATTCCAAAACGTCAGGTTATTTTGCAAAACGCAAAATGTTATTATAAGAAAGGTTATTATTAGACTAACTTAAAGTCATAAATAATAAGTGCAATTTCAATTTGATTACTGTTTTTAAATGTATACGGGCTATAACTATCATCTGTTTCTAAATAAAGAACGTCCTGTGTGAGCTAAATAAACAAACATAAACAATAAACATGTATTCTGAACGTGCGTGCTCTGAAAGTGTAGATTCTACACTGTAGAAAGTGGCGCAGTACATTTACATATCAACTCGTCATTGTTTTATATAGATTGTACATTGACAAGCCAAAATGTACCAAAAGGAGTTTCACTGGGCAAAAGATATGTGTTTAGGGCATACTAATGAATATATTTTAGATTAAAAAAATAAGTTTTGTTACGCAATTATAAATTAAAAAAAAAATTTGGTCTTTTATATTTCATTTTAAGATGATAAATTGTTTAACATTGATACTCACATTATCAGAAAACGTGACGTTCTATGACAACATGAAGTCATTTTCGGATTCTCGCGAAATCATAAGAATTACGCAAAAAAAAAACAAAACAGCTCTCAATATTATTTTTGCAGACTTGTGTAATGGGTGCTATTTTCTTTCGTGGGTCGCCTAACCTAACCTAACCCACCATTTCATAAAGTCGAACAAATATAATTATTAAAAAACCTACAAAAGATTAATTTTTTAAACTGACATTTTGTGGCTATCTAACTGAAATTTACCTGTTCTTAGAGATTCTAGAAGTTCCGGGCCTAATTTAATTACCGCTTCATTAATGGGTTGGCAGGAGATGGTTTCAGGGCTTACTTCGAAGTGCGTCACACCATTGGCATCAGTTTTAAAATCATAGTTGTAATAAGCTGTGCCCAATGCACCTGAAACATTTACATTAATCATAACTTGAAGATTTTATTTATTATAACGGGAAAAGAAATGCACTATCAGATGGTAAGGTTTAAGGTAATGCATGCATGGACCAAAAATTCCGTCATCATTCTTCCAATAAATCCCGAAATTATCTAAAGAATTGCTAGCTATTAATATCAGTAGGCTTGGTAAATACTTTTATCAGTTAATATATGAGTTTTCGGTTCACTGGTCACACTAAATACTAAATAACATTTAATTAGAAAGGGTCAGTTTAACGGCGTCGTTAAGAAAATTTATACTTACTTCCTCTAATTAAAATCGAGCCGGAAAATGATTTCCCGCGTTTCTTTACCTCAACCGTTATGTCTCCAGTAATAATGAGGTCTAATTTTGTTTGCAATTCCACGGCCTTTGTTTTAGTATCTAAACTGTAATTTATTGAATTTCAATTAGTTTGTAACCACATTAAACTACATTTTTATAGTACAGATTGAAGTTTTTTAATCTCCTATTTATTCAAACTAATTGTCCTATCACTTTGTGTTAAATATTTACTCAAAGTGTGATCGAAATAGTGTTTTAGTTCTCTGAAATAAGGCAGTAATTGTCTGATTACGAGTTATTAAATGTATTTACATAAAACTCATGCACTTTTAGAACTAATTAAAATGCAACGGTAGACAACTGCTAGAAATTATTATGCAAATCGCTTCTGTAAAGTGTTACAACTATCAAACAAGCACATAATTTAATTACCAATATTATATGAATTTCGCCATTCTTAATAATTGATCTCCTATTGCGAGTGCTTTCCTTTGTTATTTCTACTGTATTTACGTACATTTTTCTTTAAATTTTTACACGACTTTTTAAGCACCAAAATGCTGTTTGAACTTTTCGAATAAAAGCAACAGGCGTTAAAAACGTTCACGGCTTAATCTCTGCCTGCGGCAACCTGAGGCGCCTAATAATTCTACATTAATAATATGTAACAGGTATTCGCTTCGGATTGTATAAGTTGATTTAATATTATCTATATTATTTTATAATCAAGTTTAACACATCGATTCCTGGGTGACGGATTTTGGTTTCCTCAAGCTGTTTTCCTTCATCATACGAACAAGAATTAATTGAGCACATGAAAATAAAAATCCATTGATATACTGCTGGTATTTAATGGCTTGACATCAGAATTGAGACTTTAGAGTCGCATGTTCAAGGCACTAGGCCAACACTGCTCTATTAGAATATAATATAAATAAAATTAATAAGATTTCTGTCCACCAACCTGAATTTAGACAATTCTTGATTTTTCAATCCGATTATGGTTAAGTTCGATAAATGATTCCAGACGCCATATTCCTCGACTCAGGTTTAAACCAGGGCTGAGACTTGCCACCGATCGGCACCGCAGAAAATGGAATAAAGAGTTCCATGCCCTGCAGAACCACTTCGGCGACAGAGGCGGCGACGGAATCTGGAGCTTCCGGCGAAAAGCACATAGGCCCCCAAGGGTAGGACGCAAAGAAAGACCGCATCCCGTCCCAATCTGCTGACTTATAGTGCCAAATACGGCGACAACCCATAAAGCGGGGCCGTGAAGGGCGCGTAGATGGCACAGTACTCCGGACCACACAATGATCTGATGAACCCAATGGCGGGTCAACAGAGACTTGATAGTTCTCCGGATGAGAAGTCAGCAGAAGGTCCAACAAAGAGGGTTTATGACCATCCACATCTGGTATTCGCGTAATCGCAGGGACCATTTGTGTCAGGTCGTAGGCTAAAGCAAAGTCGTGAAAGGATCTTCCCGCGTGATCGGTGGTTTCAGAGCCGAGCCAATCGGCATGGTGGGCGTTAAAATCGCCAAGTATCACGATTTCAGCGGTAGGAACCCTTTCGAGCAGGGAATCTGTAGCCATTTGGATGTGCTCAATGAGTCGGTCAGTTTCGGTATTTCCGCTATGGGACCTATACAGGCATGCGTAGAATCGCGGATGGTCATCGCAGTCTACGCGCAGCCAGAGGTTAGATAGGTCCCTTCCTTCAAGCGTCCCGAGGCGACGAGAACAGATATCCTCTCTGACGTACACGCAAACTCCAGCCCGCGGCACAAATGAATGTTCCAATTTGTACCCCGGGTAGGATAGGTGGGAAGTATCAGCCGGGGAGGATATCTGAGTCTCGGTAAGAAAGAGCAAGGCCGGCTTCGCAGTCTCTAGATGATAGTGGACAGCGTCGATGTTAGAATTAAGCCCCCTAACATTTGTGAAGTCCACGGCGAGTGTGGACGGGGGTGCCTTTGTATAATTGCTCCGTTTGCCCCGAGGACGATTACTATTTTTGTAGAGCGCAGAATTGCCCCCCCAGAATACGAAGGGCAGTCTGTGCGTCCACCACCGGGTGCTGAGTGTCCCGGTGGTGGACGCCCAGAGGGGATTCTCCACCGCGAGCGCGTGTGGTACTCCCCTGGGGTAGATTCTGTTTTTTCTGCACCTTCATATTTCTTGTGTGGGGGGGGGGATGGGCTCCGGGAATCTCTCTCACCGCACGAAACGCGAGTACAAGAAGGCGAACCTTTTGCATCACTTCACGCCGGTTTTCTGAGAGACAGTGGTACTGCCCCGGTCGTGCCTGCCCATTTGGCTGAAGCCCGAAGGCAACAGCATGGCACTCCCACTAGGAAGGGGTTGACTGATTGCGCTGATGAAATAACCTCTGTCACAGGTTATTTCACCAGTGGGCGATGGGGTCGTCACGTCCCGACGCCTAAATGACGAATGTTCTGTTGATGACCTTATGAGGTATATTGATGATTTGAGTTATTCATTTTATTTTTAACGTAAAGTAGGTACTTTAGGCACTTCATACATCTTCGATAAATTTAAATTTATCACTTGCTTGTGACAGATAGGGAGACAATTCTTAAACGGGACATTAAAACATAAATAACATTATATCTGAGTCAAGATTTTCATTAATTAAAAATTATTTGGGAAGTCAAAAATACATGTCATTTTACCGATTAATTCCAACAATATATTGCATATGTGACTTGCCTCTGTTTAATTCCTACTTTGGTTATAATAAAACATTGATATACCGCTATGCCAACAAGAAAATCACAAATCATCAAAATATTTTGTACTGAATGTTACGATTATAACAAAATAATCCCCCTCTTCGTTGACGGTCATTGAACGCGCCCAAAAAAGCTTATCGTGCAAATGTAAATAAGTTAATTATTTACATATAACTAAGTTCGTCTCACAAAACAATGTCCGATTATTTGTATGTATTTCTGTTAAATACTCAAACCAGATACAAGTTTTTGCAATTACCAAGGGAAAATATTTTACTAGAGATATAATAAAAGCAAAAAATGCATTGTTTTTGTGAGAATTAAAAATATACTACAATATTTTAATTATTTTCAACTCTAAGCATCAAAGGCTCAAGGTAATTCCGAGCTTGTAAAGATTTAAGAAATACTTCCAATTCCAGCCGACAACACGGATGACCCATCTGGCGCGTAAGTGCACATGGGCACTTTACATTAGATACCTTTGGGTGATTGTAAGTCAGTTTAGCCCGAGCATATTGAATATAAAAGTTTGTGCGTACGACGTGACGATATGTTTGGTTAAAAATAATAAAATATTAAAACATTTGATTCGTTTTTATTAGTAAACAAAATACAACGTAGTTTAACTTATTTTCACACGCCCTTCAAGAATGCGTCTTTGGGCAGTATTTTAGCAGAGGCTCGTATGTTATGTACTACTGTCACATATGCCTTTTCGACAATCGCACAGACCAGGCTATTACCCTTGTCAGCAGAATTCGACTTTATTTTTTCCCTCTCTGGTTGAATATCCGGATCTGAAATTAAATCGGTATTCATCAATCAATTCCTAATTAATATTAGCATTTTTATTTTTATACCTATTGAATTTTTACTGATATTTACGTGCTCGTTTTTAATTTGGTGTCTTTCTTGTTCTTCGTATACTAATTAAACAAATTGAGTTTAATATTTTAATTTTGACTTTTATTAACCTTGCCTTATTGCAAAAGAGCAATTATTCAGTATCAGTTCAGAATGGCGCTTGTAAAAATCCCAGTCGGCACGGGGTTTCCCATTAGCAATCATTGTCAATTATCTCACACATTACATTTGTATAACCTTAGATCTTAATTGGCACTGAATCAACCGCATCAATTAGTTATTTACCATTTATTAGCTTTCACAGACGTCAAGACTTTTGTCTTAAAAGAAGTGTCACAACTGTCAAAGCACAAAATATTCACACAATACAAAATAAACCGCTTTTAATAGCGTGGCTAAAATTGTTTATTAGTTTTGTTCCTAATCGTATATATAATTTATCTGACGTCCAGTGGTGGCCAATAATTATTTATTACAATGATAAGTGATGTTCATGTTAGATCTTGGCACCTGCATGAATTATCCATATTTTTACTGATAAATAAATTACACCGGTCTGCAACAAAAATGATGTTTGCAACTGATTTCTATGTATTTAGGTGAAAACTAAAAAAATAATCAAAATATTCCAAAACGTCAGGTTATTTTGCAAAACGCAAAATGTTATTATAAGAAAGGTTATTATTAGACTAACTTAAAGTCATAAATAATAAGTGCAATTTCAATTTGATTACTGTTTTTAAATGTATACGGGCCATAACCAGCATCTGTTTCTAAATAAAGAACGTCCTGTGTGAGCTAAATAAACAAACATAAACAATAAACATGTATTCTGAACGTGCGTGCTCTGAAAGTGTAGATTCTACACTGTAGAAAGTGGTGCAGTACATTTACATATCAACTCGTCATTGTTTTATAGATTGTACGTTACATTGACAAGCCAAAATGTACCAAAAGGAGTTTCACTGGGCAAAAGATATGTGTTTAGGGCATACTAATGAATATATTTTAGATTAAAAAAATAAGTTTTGTTACGCAATTATAAATTAAAAAACAAATTTGGTCTTTTATATTTCATTTTAAGATGATAAATTGTTTAACATTGATACTCACATTATCAGAAAACGTGACGTTCTATGACAACATGAAGTCATTTTCGGATTCTCGCAAAATCATAAGAATTACGCAAAAAAAAAACAAAACAGCTCTCAATATTATTTTTGCAGACTTGTGTAATGGGTGCTATTTTCTTTCGTGGGTCGCCTAACCTAACCTAACCCACCATTTCATAAAGTCGAACAAATATAATTATTAAAAAACCTACAAAAGATTAATTTTTTAAACTGACATTTTGTGGCTATCTAACTGAAATTTACCTGTTCTTAGAGATTCTAGAAGTTCCGGGCCTAATTTAATTACCGCTTCATTAATGGGTTGGCAGGAGATGGTTTCAGGGCTTACTTCGAAGTGCGTCACACCATTGGCATCAGTTTTAAAATCATAGTTGTAATAAGCTGTGCCCAATGCACCTGAAACATTTACATTAATCATAACTTGAAGATTTTATTTATTATAACGGGAAAAGAAATGCACTATCAGATGGTAAGGTTTAAGGTAATGCATGCATGGACCAAAAATTCCGTCATCATTCTTCCAATAAATCCCGAAATTATCTAAAGAATTGCTAGCTATTAATATCAGTAGGCTTGGTAAATACTTTTATCAGTTAATATATGAGTTTTCGGTTCACTGGTCACACTAAATACTAAATAACATTTCTAATTAAAGGGTCAGTTTAACGGCGTCGTTAAGAAAATTTATACTTACTTCCTCTAATTAAAATCGAGCCGGAAAATGATTTCCCGCGTTTCTTTACCTCAACCGTTATGTCTCCAGTAATAATGAGGTCTAATTTTGTTTGCAATTCCACGGCCTTTGTTTTAGTATCTAAACTGTAATTTATTGAATTTCAATTAGTTTGTAACCACATTAAACTACATTTTTATAGTACAGATTGAAGTTTTTTAATCTCCTATTTATTCAAACTAATTGTCCTATCACTTTGTGTTAAATATTTACTCAAAGTGTGATCGAAATAGTGTTTTAGTTCTCTGAAATAAGGCAGTAATTGTCTGATTACGAGTTATTAAATGTATTTACATAGAACTAATTAAAATGCAACGGTAGACAACTGCTAGAAATTATTATGCAAATCGCTTCTGTAAAGTGTTACAACTATCAAACAAGCACATAATTTAATTACCAATATTATATGAATTTCGCCATTCTTAATAATTGATCTCCTATTGCGAGTGCTTTCCTTTGTTATTTCTACTGTATTTACGTACATTTTTCTTTAAATTTTTACACGACTTTTTAAGCACCAAAATGCTGTTTGAACTTTTCGAATAAAAGCAACAGGCGTTAAAAACGTTCACGGCTTAATCTCTGCCTGCGGCAACCTGAGGCGCCTAATAATTCTACATTAATAATATGTAACAGGTATTCGCTTCGGATTGTATAAGTTGATTTAATATTATCTATATTATTTTATAATCAAGTTTAACACATCGATTCCTGGGTGACGGATTTTGGTTTCCTCAAGCTGTTTTCCTTCATCATACGAACAAGAATTAATTGAGCACATGAAAATAAAAATCCATTGATATACTGCTGGTATTTAATGGCTTGACATCAGAATTGAGACTTTAGAGTCGCATGTTCAAGGCACTAGGCCAACACTGCTCTATTAGAATATAATATAAATAAAATTAATAAGATTTCTGTCCACCAACCTGAATTTAGACAATTCTTGATTTTTCAATCCGATTATGGTTAAGTTCGATAAATGATTCCAGACGCCATATTCCTCACTGAGCAAATAGTCAACTGAGGCCAAGTGCATAGGGTCAATGGCCCTTATGTCATATTCGGGCACTCCGTTTGCCGTTTTCGCTAGAAACTTTTGCGTTGACTTCCGTAAACATTCTGTATCCGTGATGTCGCATGGGGTGAGGAAGGCTTCTGAAAACATTGATTTTTGTCATAAAGGGAACCTTTTTATGTTAGAAGAAAACTTGATTCGATATATTAGACTCAGTATAACTGTAGATTCCTATAGGGTTGCCAGTAGAGTGAATGTCAACGGGGTCTCTTCTTCGGGGTCCGCCCATTAATGCTTGTGGCCCCTTGCTTATTTTTACTTTAATGAAGAATGGGAGGGTCATTCTTTGCCAATGAGCTTCATGAGATAGAGCTGCTTGCTGATGAGACCTCACTTTTATTCAGCGTGACAAGACCAAATATATCTTTGGATAATATAAAAAATGCTATCTCACGTATAGTTAACTGGTTCAATATAAATAACTTAATGTTTAAGTCAAATTGTATTAGATTTACAATTTGGGTGTAAAGTGTTTTCAAAGATGACGAAAAAGAAACGTTGTTTAAAAAACTCGGTTCTTGGATATAACGTTACATTTTCAACTCCAATGGGAATAGTAAACACATAGAGATTCGTTCGAATAGGTCGAGATCTGTAGCGTATGCAGTGAGAAAAATATTGCAGTGGAATGACCGGGACACAGCCAAAATTCTCTAACATAGTTATTTTCACAGTGTAATACTCTACGGTATTCTGTTAAGGGACACTGCTGCGGATGTCCAATCCATATTTGTGCTGCAGAGGCGGGCTATTCGAGAGATGTGTGTTTTTCCCCACGGGAGTCTGGATATATGTAATAAGTTTAAGGAACTAAGCATAATGACGCTAGCTGGTTAATATATACTATTCGAAGCATTATTATACATATGTCCAAAAAAAAAAAATATTTAAAAAAAAACGATGACTTTCACCAGTATACTAACTGAAAAGACTACCTGAGCGTACGACCTTAAACTAGGCTTCAAAAGATAATATAAGTAATTCCTTCTTTGGAAATTGTATTCGTTTTTTACAAGAATTCCCAAGCGATGTTAGAGAATTATGATTAAATAGATTTTATACTTACATTAAACGTGAATAATTTGCGAAAGCTTTTCTTTAAGCATATGATTAAATTTTATATTTTGCTTGCTAAGTTTCTCCAGTTCTAATAGGTTAATATTTACTTTGTAGGATTCGTCACCACCAATAGTGTACATAATGTCAAGATTTTACCTTGATTGACTAAGTTTTGGTGTTTTGTTCTCACTATATTGTAAATGCTTGCTTCTATTTTGCCTGCTGATGATAAGCTTGCTATTTTATTGTAATGACGTTTCAATATCTCAAGTGAAGCCTGGGCTAACGATTGCAGTTCCTTACAATTTCCTTTTACGCAAAAACTTGGCTAGTAAAAAGAATGGCGAAAAGTTTCTTGCCAGTTATTCTCGCCCTTGATGTGGGAACTGATGGAGAAGTAAATATATATTCCTTATAAATATACATAAGAGTAAGCGATATGATTACATAAATTTTGATTGATGGATTGCTTAAAACGTATAGTATTACAAGAATTCAGTCTAGACTAATCAGGAATATCCTCTAAAATGTCTTACGAAGTAAATCACAAAATAATTAGATTACATGGATTACTGTTGAGAATTGCAAATAGGCCTGAAACTAGAAACTATAAACTCTATAGAGCCAATATATATCTTATAATAGAATAATATAGAGAAAAGAAATCAATTCTATTGAGTTTCAATATATAATGGATAAGGTACCTATGTTATAAAAATATCATTATCAGATCAATAACTGTGATAAATTTAAATTGGCCATGTTTAACGACCAATTTAAGTTCATTGAGAATCTATTGACACTTGTGCATCAATTGGCCATTTGTGTGTCTGGCCATGAGTTTTGATCATAAAGATTGGATTTAATCCTGCTATAATAGAAGGACTCATAAATAATTGTGAAAAATACATTGTTTTTTATAGAACAAATGACAAGTGGCTCTTCGGATGTTAACTGACACCACCGCCAATGGACACTGACAATGCCAGAAGGCTCGCAAGTGCGTTGCCGGTCAATAAATAATGATATTATAAAAACAATATGCAGTTTATGTATATCATTAAAAATTACCACGCTTCGTTGGCATACGATAACTTATTCGTCACAATACTTCACTTAACTACTTGTAAATTTATGAAGCGTCAATTGCATTTATTTTATCTAAATACATTTGATAAGAGCTCTCCCACACGTGTTGAAGAAACGTGGATATAGCACAATCTTGTGTACACTATGTTTTCAAATATAACCATTTCTGTTTTATAAAGTACTAGTGGACCCCACAGACGTTGTCCTGCATGATATTTAAAGCGATTAGGATATTAAGCAAAGTATGAAAGTACCGACTGCAGTGCCATCTGCCGGGCTGATTTGTGAATCTAAACCATTCCCAGATCCCCTTGAACACACACAAAAAAATTCATCAAAATCGGTCCAGTCGTTTGAGAGAAGTTCAGTGACATACACACTCACAGAAGAATTATATATATAAAGATAAAGATTACCTGTTTCCTGCTACGCTTTGCTTTGGCACATTGTGATTGAATGGTTGAGAAATGAGAAACAAAACAAAGAAAACATTTCATATAAGTTTAATTTTGCAATACTTGTGGAATAGAATGAAAAAAAAAATTGATAAAAACCATCCTTGAAGCGGATTAAATATCATGCTAAAATTTCAGTTTTTGAAGCGTACACAAACCAACATAGCATTATTATATATAGATTAAAGTATTCCAACGATCACAGTGTACGAACCACATTTTATAAATTAGCTTAGATAAGTCCACTTCTACTGTTGATATTGAGGTGAAATATTACACATATCAAGAGCTTCCATTGTTTATTTGAAACGCTGAGCAAAAATATTGCGTTCGCACAAGTTTGGATGCCGACCTACTTGACCTATTAAGGAAACTAAAAAGTGAAAATATGAGGAAGTGTTGTTTTAATGTTGAATAATCGTTTTATGGATATGGTTGGATAAAACACATTCAAATTTCATTCTTTTTATTACAAATCCTGAAACACCATTCACATAGTGTTATAATGAAACGTACTTGATTTTAATGAAAATATGTGCGTTTTAGAACTTTTAAAAAAATTTCAACAACTAGTTCGAGTGAGAAATTATTAAAGTATTAAAAGGTAAAAGACAATTTCTCAGTGAAACTGGTTTGCAAATATATTTTAATCTGTTAATATAACTGTTCTCTAAATGCTTGAAAATCTGGATTTATGAAATCATTTTAAATACTCAGATGAGAAATTTCTTTTATGGAATATAAAATTCTTAAAATAAATTTCTTGATATTTTTGATCCCATTAAAAACAGATTCTTTCCTTCATTTACAATTTACATTATATACTTTTAAATCCAGTAAAAGTAACTAGTAAGCTTTGCAAAAAATATAATCGAGGAATCGGGTAAACATACCAAAGAAAAATTAAATGAGAATTTCGGTACAACTTCTACCCTTTTAAATTATCATAATCAAATAATGGATGTAAATTAAAATCCGAGGAAACCTGAATCTCACGAATTCTACTATAAACCATATAGTATTATAAACTGTTTCTATTAAAATCCTGTTGATTTAAGAACATTGGAGAGATTATAAATACATAGACAAATAAGTTACGTCACAGAGTCTGCTGAGCTTCAAAAAAAACAAAAACCCAGCAAATTTGTTTTTTCTATTATCTAAATGACATTTAAGGCTATATTTCATACCTTCTTCACATAAAGCCGTGACAAGAGACACAAACAAAATAAATCCTCGAGCCGCCAACATCCTGCCACACCACTCACCGCACTGATAGGCTCTCAGTTCATATATCATTTACTTTATATACGATTGATTAGAGTAATGCAAATAAAATGTAATTGAAAGAGAATTCCGACGTTAGGCATACATAGGTCACATATTATCAGGTCCGTTAAAGTAAATAATGATAATGTAATATTATGGTAGGTATAACTTTGATTTTAGATATTTAGAAATCATCTGCATATTATACACCAGTACGGTGAAAACAGGAGTATTATTAGAAAGAAAGATAATAATAATAATCGTTTATTTGCAAAGAAAGTGGTACATTCAGATTGATTAATTATAAAAAAAACACACAATCAGCCATATAAAGATAGGCATGCAAATGTCATGATGTCATGATAATAAGAAAAGTTAATAATAAGTGTTGTGAAAAATGATCTAAATACTCTCCCAGGCTATAAAGGCACCTTGCCTTTAAAAATTTATTCACCCTCCCCTTGAAAGCATTACACGACATTGATCTATATCTTCTAGGAAGGTGATTAAATAGTTTGATCGCCGTGGCGTATCTTTTTTGAATACAACGTGGTGCAACATGCAGCACCCCACAGTCGTGTTGAATCCCTCGGTCTGTATCTAACAGGCAAGTTTCTTTAAATGTTGTGAATAATTTTCGACGTTTTTTTACTGTCATAACTGCTTGTAGGTAGGTACTGTTAAAATACCGAGTTCCTAAAAAAATGTCTAGAGCATACAAGAGCCTTCATAATTTTTTTCTGAATATTAAAAACTTTATTCACATCTACTGAATTACCCCATAAAAGGCGCAGAACTGAGGCAACATAGCCGTGATAAGCAATAATTGATGCGTGGTTTAAAGTCACTTTGCGAGTTCGACTCAAAGCAACTAGTCAAAGAAATGTTATAATTATGTAAATAGCTGTAAAATGTGTCTGTATAGAGAAGACATTAGACAAGTATTCCAGGAAGGTACATCATGATGATTTGAACAAGATCTAATTAATTAATAATACGGAACAAGGCACTAGTCGTATGAAGTATTTCAGGAAAATGTCGAAGTAAGGACGAGTTCATTCGGAAATGAAATTGTTTATTGTTTGTTCGGTTATCCCAACCCTAATGACAAGTTTAAGCCGTTTCAATTCTTTTGTGAAAGTAAATCGTTTATATTCGTTATTTACATTCCAACCGTTACACGGACTCGAAGAGTGTGTATTAGATAATGTTATTCTACCTTGGAAGAAATTAATTTTTACCCATTTGGTATTTTTTATTTTCATTATTTGTTATTTCATATATCTACTTTATATTATTATTATACTTAGTATTATTTAAATTATATATTTAAAATTAACAAATACCACGAAAGTAATGTTTTCTATATTACGAGTATCTAAAGCTCCATTGACATATTTTGTAAGTTCTAATTGGTTCTAACCTTTGGGCTTCCTTATATGTTTAAATCGTACATTCTATAGACTTCTGCTTAGAAAATGTAATCCCGTAATGTAATGTAATCGCGAGATCCCGATCTCGCGAGATCTCATGTCATTTTTCAAGATCAATCCCGAAGCTTGAAATGACATAAAAACAAGATAAATTGCCTTTATCAATGATTGCAGAGAATTTTACGTGTTGCTGTTATAAAAACCAACACGGCACTTTAACAGGAATAAGTAGAGACTCTGAGAGCAGCCAAATGTCCTTCGCGTGTTTCTGCGTGATAAGATAGATAAGAGTCAGTAATAAAAAAGAGATGAATCTATAATAGAAAGGGGTAGCTTTTTACACTTCGCTTACTCACGCTAGTGCCAACCATTTTTGAGTCTGAGAGGGCATTTGCAGCTGCTGGTACATAGCGACTGACATAAGATGTTGCTTATCAGCCAGCAGACTCGATAATAGCTTCTTAAAAAGTTATTTCAAAATCACTCCTAAATATCTAGGATTCTGAGATCTCGAAAATACACAGATCTCGCGAGATTGTAATCCTCAATCCTGCGAGATCTCGAATTAACAATCTTGACTCGAGATTGCATTCTGCTAGAGTGGCAACGAACTTGCATACTTATTGGCATAGTAGGCGTTCAGGGGCACGTTTGCTTAATAAAAATCAAATTTTACATAAGATGGCTCCAAGAGGCAGGACAGTACAGCATCTACTCCTCTCATAATTTTCGTTCTAGGACACTTAAGTAATGATAAAGTGATCGTCTGTTTACAAACTTCATCTAGAGAATAACCAGTATTTGATTAACCTTATCGATACAAATAAATAATATGATTCACTATATTGATGATAACTATAACGTGTCGGCAATATTAAATCACTATACTTTATAGTAAAATTGCAAGGCGTGCATAATATTGATAAACAGGGACATTTATAAACAAAAGTTTTCAGTGAAAAGCTAAAACTTTTCAAGCATTTGAAGTAGGTCAGTTGCTAATTGCATTTGGAAATTGGGACAGCGGTCACAATAACAGGAATGATGAAAGGAAAAGAGTTTTGCCTCGGAGAAGGGCATGAGACAGATATAATTTTGCCCGCCTTCCAGTTCTTAAATAGTAACGAAACATCCTCTTTAAATATTCTTAAGTTAGTTTAATAGAGCAAGATTAATTATTTATGTATTAGGTTCTTTCTTGTCTGCTATGGTTTTGGTAACGTACCACTCGCCATTGCTTTAGTAGTTGTGATGGACATAACAACCAAGTATTATTTATTCTTATGTGGTGCATACAATAGTAGGTTAACATTAAACAGCTTGCTCTCGACATGTGACCACAAATTGTGGTTACACTGTATGTAACATTTACTGGTTTCCTATTATTTATATTCTCGTATTCATAAGTTCATAATTTATACTGTCGCACTTGTTTGCTACGAACCAAATAGCTTTACATTTATAAATGACCTCAATAAATTGTACATAAAAAATTAAAACATTAACTATTCTTTCCGGCTTTTTAAAATGGCATCTAAGACATGTTCATGGCCATTTTTTCATCAATATTCATAATAAATAATCCAGTCCACAACATGATCAGTTTTCTTCCATGGGCAAGTAATCATCCGTAAGAAATGGTCGTTTTCTTTGCAGTACGAGCAAGTGTAAATACACAACACAATTTAAGAAAAAATACCGTAAACGAGGGATTTTCCAAAGCTATTTGTGTGATTAATGAGCCAATCAATCGTTAATTAATTCTAAATGTATGAATTCCACAAGCTACATGTTCTAACTGCATTCACGAATTAATTATAATTGTCAACAGTTTTTCCATATTAATCACTAATTAGTTAACATTATTGAATGAAAAATCGATACCAAAATAACAATGAAATACACAGTTTATTCAAAGTATCGTTGTTTGCCTCACGTAATATGATTCTTATATTCCTAGGTTTAAAAAAGGCTTACAGTATTGCTACAAAATCATTTTGAATTGGCGAAATGTACAAGTAACGCAACAATAAAATTTTATCATGTGTTTTGTGTTTTTTGTGAACGGTTATATTATTCGTCAGATCGAAATAGTCTTTTATTGCTATTTCATATTGTCGACACGTGCTTTCAATGGCATACAATCTAAAATACGAGAAACTTCGTAGCATTGTAAATTATAATAGCTTTTATTTTGAGTTGGTGGGTGACTTTAGGAATGTAGCATTCAACGTACGTGTAGTAATATTAGTCAATGTCGAGTAAACTAAAGTTAAATGAAGCCCCATTGTCGCGTTACTAAATTAAGATTATCTATTCGCCCACAACATAGGAATGTCCATAAAACGGGAAAAATTTTCGAAAAAAATATATGTTTTTGTTTTATGAATTAAGTACACATATTATGTACAAAAAGGATAAATAGATAACACCTACACCGGCCAGTTTATTAACTATTAATTAATTTTTTGTGCTATTTTCTTAATTCATCGAAATTGGTAAAAAGCTTCGAGTCGTTCGAGTTCGTTGTCATATTACGGTCAGTTACGCGTGTGTGACGTTTTATTGGTATCGACCGTGAATGGTTTTTTATTAGATGTAGTAAAAATAAAAGGGAATTCGGGAAAAAGGATTTTTATGGCCATACGCTGTTCAATGCGACCAAACTGATCATCGCGTATATTACATCGTCCTTTGTCTTATATTACCTATTGTATATAAAAGAAAAACATATTACTAATTAATTTCAATATAAAAAAGGTATTGTTATTAGCGAAATGTGTTTGCCATGTTGTCGTGCATCTTTAGGAAATATTACACAGAAAATGGACGAGGAGATCACGCCTAATTAGTGACTAATTAGTAATTAGTTTTCCCTTCCTTGCGCCCGCTCTTGTCACTTATTTTGCTGTTTCTACATGATAAAGAAAATAGGCCTTATATATAATCTATGCGTTGTCTTGATTTAAATCGCAACACTAATTTTGGGAAAGATTGACTTTATCGAATTCGTAGCTGAATTGATTTTATTTAACCGGGGTTACATATTTTTTGTTTTATTTGCTTTGATATATCGAAGTGTTTTATCCACACGTGCAGTTGCATATAACTCTTTTTCAGGATTCAAATTCATACGCTGAACGGTGAACCGGTAAGATATAGACTAAAAATTCTGGTTTACGAAGCGATTGTATATTTGCTAAACTAACTATTATAGAATGAAAAATTAATTTACAAATGTGGTGAGTTTCGATTTATATTTCAAACAAGAGACGGTTCGCTGCCTACAAAACGCGACTCATGTATTCATGACATATCGGAGTCAACAGGCCATACAATGTGTAGAGAAAACTATGTTAATGTCATATAACGAGTGTGACACCGACAAACCCAGTATAGTAACTAAAATGTGAAGTGAAAATGTATAATTTATAGTTAACATGGACGAACGTGAACGAAAGAATATCGCGATTTAATAACCTTATGATATAAAAAGGTAACCAAAATGTTGTGTACATAATACTAACAACCTCAAAAGTTGAAACAATA